GATTTACATGAAAGAAACTTCTGGTTATAGAGAGCATTCAATCTTTGTAATTCAAGCTTAATCAAAGTGTTCATTCTCTTAACACCAGATTTGTTTTTCATTTTGAACAACCTTTCTTTTTCACGGCGGAGCTTTTTGAGTTGAGAAGAGGAGAAGCGATCGAATTTTAAGAAGATTGTCTCTTTTGGACAACAAACATCAAGACAGAAATTAAGATAATGTGTTATGTTGGCAATTGTGTTATCAAGAGCTTGTTCAGTAAATAGATCCCAGTTTGTGTCTTTTAACATGGACCTTAGGTTCAGTATGTTGTCATGGGAATAACATCTGTGTTGTGTTTTCTTTCCAAGGTATGAGAAGACCCTTTTGTGCTGCTTTCCATATACTTTGGGCAATATTCTTATGATACAGTGATCTGAATTTAGTAGTGGGGCTCTTTTTCGAGCTTCAAATATTCCTGCATCGTTTGTAAAAACAAGGTCAAGAGTGTTGTCCATTCTAGTCGGGAAGTTGACAATATTATCGTGTCCAAGTGAAATTAGGAAGCTGTGGTCACTAGAATTAAAATCACCAGTAACTATAGACAAGGAATTTCCGAAGGAGGTGGCAGCAAGGGAAGTAAATTCATCCGCAAATAAAGATAATTCTGTGGAGTTGCATCCAGGAGCAATATACATGTTCGAGATGTAAATGTAGTTGTATTTAGACAAATGTCTAGGTCGACACTTAACGGTGAGACAGTCAATATTGTCACTAGAGAATTTGAAACATACATTATTAGACGTACACCATTGTGAATTGATGAAGATGGCGACACCGCCACCGCGTTTCTTCCTGGAACTACACCGATCTTGTCTGAATAGTTTGAAATTATTTAGATACACTAGATTGTCATCATATAGATCATGAAGCCATGTTTCTTGAAGTGATATGATCCCAGTATTATGATATATAATGGAAGACACCAGCGATTGAAGACAGTTAATTTTAGCCGGCAGGGAGCGACAATTGGTACTCATAATTGCGGGAACAGTCATGAATTGAATAGGGGTATTTTTTAATGCTCTCTGCCAGCCGGCATGATGCTTTTTCTTGTCTTTTTTATGGAGTTGCAGATCAGTAGGTTTTAGAGATATTAGATATTCACGAGAATAAATAATCCGATTTGAGGTCATATTTGAATAAGATTTATTGATTAAAATATCAATTAGAAATGAGAAATTAGATGCAATATGATTTGTAATGTTTAAGGTAACTGGTAGCCCAAGATTTAAGCAGGCCGCCAAGGTCGAAGTGCACGTTGAAGGCTAGTCTTTTAACTTGATGATAGACACACTACAAAATTAACTGATGGAATTCAGTCAGTTAATCTGACTGCAGCATTTGGGCAGGATTCTAGAATAAAATTGCATATTTTTACAAGTTTATCTGATATATCATACAGTATTAATAACCGGAGGTTGTTTCAAGCACAGGGTCATATCAGTGTATTCACAAAAGTTGATAACTTATTTCCTATAGTTTTAACTCTTGCTGAATTTTACTGCAATCTTCCGCCTATACAGTATTTGATGTCACATCATTTCGATAGCATGTGTTCGGTATTGACTGGATGAAGAAAGATGCAGTGATTAAATCCCTCTCTCCGCCTAAGTATATTAATGTTTATTTTCTTGGTCGTATCCCAGTCTACCATATGATTACATGCAGATAAAGGCATTGGAATGGCCGAATTGTTTTTGTAGATTATTCAACCTAGTAGGGTCAATCATTTTAAGATCTTAGTAAATTCCTGTGTTCGGATAATCGAAATGACTTGGATCTACTTGTTTCATCTGTGTAATTGACTTCAAAGTATTTGGTAAACTATATTAATTTTTCATAATTGGATCTATAAGGTCCATAGACTGAAAATGTTTTATCTCTGGCTGAGTTAGCTGGTCTAAATGCCACTCTAATTCCAACCTGATTAAGACTTCGACACTGGACCACTTATCTTCCTTATTAATATGACAGTACAACCGAGGCTTCGAATTTTAATAATAATAATAATTTACTTTATTCCAAAAACAGTACTTATAATACAGAGTGAAATTCTCAGCATTTACCACAATATTGCATCTGATTTACTTAAAATATAAATAAAATTAAAAATTAAAACAAAAGTAACCAGATAAATTTGTCCACGTTTACAATATAAAGTCAAAAATATTGGAAGCACGAATTGAGATCATAAAATATTATAACAATAATAATAATAACAGTGAGTTTGTTTCAAACAGTACTGTCGATTCAGTTAGGAAATTTTAGCATGTTACTATAGAGTATTGAATCTAATGTTCTGTTGATATAGCAGCATGGTGAGGGGAAATACAAGATTAACAGTGGTAACACAGCTTAAACGATGTTCACACTTATGAAAAATAAGTAAATAAATAAAAACAAAAAATTGAGAGGATTATAAATATAAGAAATATAATAACAATAAAGTTTGATGGTGTGAGGGTGGAAGAAATGGTTTATTTAGTAGTGCAAAGAAGGTTAGTCGGTTAGTTCATGCCTGACACTATTTTCATCACATAAAGTACGTGCCGCCAAATATGGTATAGTGGAATTTTTATACTTAGACGTACGTGCGTAAATTCTTCTAAAAAGACGTCTTGTTTTACCTGAGGAGACAAAAGGTTGGAGCTGAGGGTAAAGTGGGTGTTTAGAGTCTGACAAAATTCCTTTAGCAAATTTGTTACATGACATCAAGTGCCTATCCGTGACAATGTCAACGATATTTGTATTATTTTCATTATTTAAATTACTATTTTTAATTTTCAAATAGATTTTAATACATTTTTGCATAAAATCTGGTAGGTAGTAGTTCACTATTAATTTTTTCGTTAACTCTCTGATTTCATTATGTAAATCTTCTCACTTACTTGTGAGTAAGTAAAAATCTATAGAACAAGTTATCAAGTTGTATGTATACACTGATATGATTAGAAGTAGTAGGTAGGTTGTGCTCGAAACGTCATCCAGTTATTAATACTGTATTACTGCGTGTTTTGTATCAAACAAACTTATCTAAAATGAGAGACTTCCTTCAGGACCAGCAGTGAGGTCCAGGCACATGACATTGGTTATATTCTAGTGTCGAGTCAATGTTATTAAGCTGTAATCTTGATCTCCTGTCTGTTGACCACTGTCCTGAAAAAAATCATGATCTTTCTGTTAACAAACCCTGTTTTAATTCTTCTTCCCCCTTTTTTAGAGATTAATCCCACTCCAAATTGGTCAGAAATCTTTTAAAGAGATATGCTGAGTCGATTAATTATAACAGTAGGTAGTTTAATTCACTCGTAAATTTAACAAATTTATGGTATCGTATGACGTGACCTCCTTGTTTACAAACGTAACACTGATGGAAACAAATGATATTAGTTGTAAACAAACGGATCTACTACCATTACTGGAAACAGAGATGAAGCGACTACTGCTGCTTCGCACAAAAGATATACAATTCAAATTCAACAATCAACTTTACCGACAAATTGATGGAGTCGCCTCTAGGACCTCTTCTGGCTGATATCTTCATGGGTTACCTTGAACAGACACAATTGAGTTCTGCTATCAATGGAACAACTTACTATCGCCGATATGCTGATGACACATTTGTTTTTTGCAACGACATGGATCACGCATCGGCATTATATGATCGCCTCAATGACACCCGTCCAAACAACAAATTCACTATGGAATATGAACATAATAATTAGTTCAATTTCATGGATCTAAATGTAGAAAGAACAAACGAAGGCACGATCAAAAAGTTCATCTATAGAAAAGAAACATGGACTGGGCAATATCTTCACCATAACAGCTTTTGTCCTATAAGCTATAAACGTGGATTAGTGAGGACTTTGTACGAAAGAACCAAGCAAGGTCGAAGAAGAATTAGATTTCTTCGAGAAATGCCTAAGAGAAAATGGATACCCAAAGGGATTTATACAGAAGTATAGCAAAGAAAAAGAAAAACATCCAACTGTAGAAAAGAAGAAGGTGTTTATTTGTCTCCCATTCAAAGGAGATTCAGTGTCACAAAAGATTGACAAAAGACTGATGAGTGCAATAAAAAGAAGCTTCCCAGCAGCAAAACTCAACATTATACAGCACCACTTCTTCTATAGTCCACTCAAAACTGAATAAATACCCTGCTAATGTCACCTTCAACTGCGTTTATGAATTTACGCGCACTTGCGGGAGCAAGTACATTGGAAGGACAGAAAGAAGGGCTTCTATCCGGTTTTCTGAACATATTCCCAAAAACCTGTGCCTGAAAGGAAGCAGATATTCCCAGATTGCAATTATCAGACATTGTTGATACTGGACATCTCGTAGAGATTTCTAAATCCTTCAAAATATTAAATAGACAAAGGACAGCAAATTTACTACGATTCGTCGAAGCGATCGCAATCAAACGACTTAAACCAGACTTATGCTTACAGAAAGACAGCGTGATTAACCTCTCACTGAATTTTGATTTTGATTACAATAATTAGTCATCTAATTCACTGATCTCAACTCACTGAACAAATCTTAATCTCATGAACTGTGACCGTTCTTCGAGTTGCTATGTGAACCTACAAGCTAACGCTGTTCTGTTAACCAATTTTTTCTGTTTTCTTTCTTACCCCTCCCCCCTCTTTTCAACTTTAAAAGCGTATAAATTGATGATGAAAACTTAAACTAAAAAAAATTGTAATGCTTTCATTTTGGACGCGTATCTCTTCTCTACTACCACTTAAACATTAAAGTATGTTATTATCATCTATCTAACCGTTGTAATTTCAGGTAGTCTGTAGCTGATGAGAACGTATGAAATAGAATGATGGCATCATTTTATACTGCAAATTTCGTCTTCCTTTCTTTTTCGAAATTTATCAAGGGAACCAAATGTATGAAGTTAACAACTTTAGTTTTTTGGGCTTTCTTTTTTCTTCAAAAATTAGGAATCCTATCTACATGCTTTGGGTGCTGAAACTGTGCGTACACCGGCATCAGCAAATTTTGATGATCCTGATTCACCATTTTTGGTATCAGAAAAAATAAAACGAGAAATTGGTTCTTCTGCACACATAATTGATCAGTATACAAATCCATATAATCCAATAGCACATTTTGATGAGACAGCTGAAGAGATTTTCCGTGATTGTACAAATGAAAATGGTAAAGTATGGCTGGATATGTTAGTCGTTGGCGCTGGTACTGGTGGTACAATCAGCGGATTGTCGAGAAAGATGAAAATGAAGTTACCGAATTGTTTGGTGAGTTATTGAATAACAGATTATTTTTTTTCAGGATCGATCATGAAATGACTTCAGTTAGAGAACTATTGGAAATCGGAGGGTACTAGACAGCTGTCTTCTCGTTGTTCTGGACTCACCAGTACTATGCATTCATGACCTTCACCGAGGATCGAACCTGGATCTTCAGGTTACAAGGAGAGTCCGTATACCACTGAACCACTGAGACAGGATCCAGTGACTCATGAATTCTAGGTTCTGTCATTTCGCTGGTCAATGTCATCGGTGAGCATTTTTCATCATGACCAGCTGTGCGAATTGACAGAAGTTAGAATTGATAGGCAATTAGATTGGTTCGCAAATTGAAACTGTACCTCATATATAGTTGGTTAGATAATTCTAATATTCAATTGATTGGTCACTAGCTAAGTGACCAATCTCATATGCTTACTTCTTGGTGTTGGTATAGACTGAATTCTATCAGCCAATTTTGAAACGTGGTCACCAGCCTGGGTGATTTAACATCTCATCTTTTTTATTCCTTTTACGTTCCCAGTGGAACGTAGGATTTCAAGCTTGAGGCTTGAAGTTTCGGTAGCAACAGTGGCGTTTATTTTTACGGGATGCGGTTGTTAGCCTCATGCCCAACCTTCCCTCTTTACCAGTCTAATTACTGGTTAATCGAAGTAAAGGCGTGCGTCAACCGGGAATCGAACCCCGGTCCAAATGCGTGGCTGATGAACATCCTACGACTGTGCCACTGACGCTATTTGCCGTCTCAGAGCACTCTGAATTGATGTATAATGGTGAGGGGGGTGGGCAATCAGCATGAGGCTCTTAGCCTTGATTTCACGTTATGGGATAGGGATTTATTATCAACTCTCCTCCTATGTTTCATTTCATTATTTAGAGTCATTATTTAGTATGTTAGACTCTTAAGTAAGCCTGCATTCACAGATGGCGAATAAGACTAGTTAGTCTAAATATCTGATTCAGTGAGTTGGCTTTTTACAAAGACCAGCATGCAATTTACCTTCCGTTTGTCTTTTTTTTCGCAATCGAACACAGCTAATTCTTCGTGTTCATTTTTTGATCCAAAAATGTAAAATTTATTCCTTCTACTATTGAGTTTATATGTGTGCAGAAACTAGAGATATGTTCTGTTCTTAACGCTGTGAAAGTGTCATCCACATACCTCCACCATATCTTTGAAGTAGGATTAATAATGGTAATGATAATTTGCTTTATTCCAAAAACAGTATTAATGACACAGCAAGGAATTTTTAGTATTCAGTACACTATTGCATTTAATTTACTAAAAACGACAAAAAATAAACATTACATAATGATAATAATAACAAAACGTTGTTATAGTAGCTATGTAGGAAATTACAGTATGCGATACGGAGAAAATATGCATGAAGTATAAAATTGTAGTTTAAAATAGTAATAACAACTAAAATAAAATAAGTTAAATAAACGATAGAAAGGGTGACATCATAAAATTACAGAAAGATGGACGATGAAAGGGTCGATTCACTTTGCTAATTATATAGGAACTTATATGTTTCACGTCTAACAGTGTCTCCATCACATAAAATATAGGCTAAACAGGGTATTGTAGAATTTTTGTACTTAGTGGTGCGAGCATATAACTTCTTATATTGACTTCTCGTCCTACCTGATGAGATGCAAGGGGATAGTTGTAAATAAAGGGGGTGCAGGGGATCTGACAGTACGGCTTTTACCCATTTTGTACAGGATTTTATATGTCTCTCGACTATAATATTGGCAAGCTCACGCCGTGGCATACCACAAGCCCTACTCACAGCATATAATACCCTTCGTAATATGATGTAGTCTTTTTTGAGAAGCCCAGGAAAGATTAATGGAGAGCAATAGAATACAAGTATTAAGAGTACATGTATTAAGAGCCATATTTTCTTCACTATTTACAACGAGATGTACTACTATTGGGGATATTGGCGATTACATTGTTACTCCTTCTGTTTATCTATATGTTGTGCCGTAGAATTTGAAGACAGCTGATGTGAGGGATAACTGAATTCCTGGGTTAATTTCCCCAATGAGTAGTAGCTTTATGCTATGAGTCCCAGATCAGCAGTTGGTTCTTTTGTCACTGCTCCTATAGCCATATTGGTTGGTATACTAGTAAAAGGACTGGGTATATTCAAACTAACCATTTTCCGGTTAATTCCTATTTGGATTCATATGAACTGGTTGTTCTGCAGACAACGGACAAGCTCTGTAAGCTAAAGCGTCTTATTGAACTAATTAGAAGAAACAATTTATTCTAGAAAATGATTTGAAATAACTGTGAGGTCCAGTACTTACGTCACACTAGTTGACGGGAGTCAGATAGGTTATCGCAACATAAAAATTGAGCTCATTCTAGAATGATTAACCCCACGACGGTGAAGAGTTTAGAAAAAAATCGGTATTCACGATACATACACTAGAACACAATCACACAATGCTGTGGAACAGAGCTACGTTTCTGACAAGTAAAATGGATAGATGGAGGATCGCTTGATCTTTCATTATTGACCAAATCTGCGCCTAACGCATACAATAGGAACGACGTAACGCCAATCCTGGAGTTACGGAAGATATTATTATTGTTCCCTTGGGTTCCTAGTGAAACATAGGGCTTCAACTGCACATCTCCACTTGCTTCTGCCTTCTGCTGTATTTTTCACTTCCATCCATGTTAGTCCATACTGTTTCAACTCCTCTTCACACGATCACCTCCATGTCACCCTCGCACTAACGTCCCACTCGCCGGTTCCCTTTCGGCCTGGTTCCACTCCAGCAATGGCCTGACGCGCGCGCGATGTCATCCAGCGGCTTCCTCGGCGAGTGTCCAATCCATCTCCACTTTCTCCTGCATATTTGTTGGTTGGCGATTGGTTCTTGTTTTGTTTGTTCCCAGCCATAGCTTCTTGTTGGTGATTCTTTACGGCCTAACCATCTGATCTTCAGTATAGAGCGATGCGAGTTGTTGATAAATGTCTGAAATAGCCTGTTGGAATTATGCTTTGTGACCCGCCAAATGGTCTGAACCCACATCAGCTCCTCTCCTCGATCTTGTGTCCAGTAGGCTCCATCTATACTTTCTTGAGATTGAGATGAAGTCTATCTGGTTTTTGGTGAAATCCATGTCACCTTGTGTATATCTTTGTGTTTGAAAACACTGCTGCAAATCATCAAATCATTGAAGGCGCAGAAGTCTGAGAAGAGTTCACCATTGTCGTTCATTTCACCAAGGGCCTCTCGACCCATGGTGAGTTCTCTTCCTGTGTTGTCTCCTCCCCGTTTTGCATTTATACCACCCATCAGGATTCTGATATCACCATTTGGGACGTTATCCATTATTGCTTGTAGTTGTCTGTAGAAATCCTCCTTCTTCTCTTGTTCTGAGACGTTTGTAGGCGCATAGCATTGAATGATTGTAACCTTCCTTCCTTTTGAGTTGAACCTGGCTGTCATTATCCTGGAAGAGATTGGTTCCCACTGCATGGGAGCTTTGACTGCTGTTGGTGACATCATGATGGCCACTCCCTCGGTAGCCACGGAAGCTTTTACTACCAATAAAGTCAAAGGATAAGAAATTGTGGAATTATATAAAGGTAGTTGTAAAGTTATCTGAATACCTTGATGTGATTATGAGCAATAAACTGTGCTCGAAAAATGTGACCAGTAATTAGTACTGTATCACTATGTGCTTTTATCAGAAAAATTTTATTGTGATGTGAAATTTCCCACTTACTGTTTGATTTAATCGTTTCTTTCAAAATTTAAAGCATTTCAGCTCGAATTTGATATATTACATTTATTTCAGATTGTTGGAGTAGATCCTATCGGTTCTATTTTAGCTGATCCAAGCTCTAACGAAGTAGCTCCATATGATGTTGAAGGTATTGGTTATGATTTTATTCCAACTGTCTGTGATCTTAGTGGAGTTGATGAATGGTGTAAAACTGATGATTCTAATTCATTTGAAATGGCAAGAAGACTTATACGCGAAGAAGGTTTACCGTGTGGTATGTACTTGAGTGTATACTTTTCTTTTACGAATTGCTTTTATTTTATTGAGGTTAGTGATGAATAGCCTACACCGAAATACTCAGTTTCTTTTAACATGTCAGTTTCCGCTGCAGACGCTTTAACAATGCACTGAGATAAACCTGTTACTTAACTAGACATGGCTGTTGTAGTCCGATGGCCTTGAAAAGTAATGGGTTGATGTTTTTAAAGATATTTAGATGAACCGAGTTTCACTGAGAACACCGTCATTCATTAGGGATACAGTACACCCAGAAGACGAGTCCCAGATTGGACGAGACACCTATCTTGTATTCTATCACCAACCAGTTAACACTTTAATTCTGGTTTATTTCAATTTATTTATTTATTTATACAAATAAGGAATATAACTATGATGTGATGTCAGGTCAATGATCAGTCGGATTAAATAAGAGGAGAGTGAGTAGCTCAGGGTGGCAACCAAGGGGGTTAATACCCTATAACCAGTTTGATCGAATATCAAATACAGACTTTTCTCCCATCTGCTTCACTGAGTTGTGAAAATATTAGAAGGGAAAGATTGATCGGTGATAGTAAGGATAAATTTACTAGACAGAAATACATAATATATATAATAGTGAAGATTTGTAGCTGAGGTGGATGATATCAATGTGGCTGCGTTCTACGAGTTGGACGATTTAATTGTAAGGCTATCATTGTCCTTCTAGACAGCATCTTCAGCTCAGACTTTGATATGAGGACTTTATTCAGAGAAAAGTCTCTTTTCTGAAATTTGTGTATTACTATTCAACGACTCTATCACAAAACCTCGCCAGATACTAGCTTGCTAGGCTACTAGCTTACTAGTTTTCTCGCCGGTCCCAAGCCCGGGTAAAGAGGGAGGGTTGGGGCGTGGTGCTAGCAACTCCACCCCTGTAAAACAACCAAATCGCTACAGAAACTTCAACGAATAAATATATTAAAAATTCTAAAAACATAAGCAATAGCCTTACTTTTCGCTGGAATCGGGGAAGTGAAATGACGCAGGCTGGTGAAAGCCTTCGGGAAGCCAGTCAGCCGATGTGCCTTCTTTCGATGAAAGCAAAAGTAAGGATGGGTACCTGGAATGTTCGCACAATGTACGAAACTGGAAAGGCTGCCCAGATAGCCGCTGAAATGAGAAGGTACAGAATAGAAGTGTTGGGAATCTGCGAGAGCAGATGGAACGGAACTGGAAGGTGCCAACTACCTACTGGAGAGACAGTAATCTTTTCCGGCCACCTAGAGGACAACCATGAGCACACCGAGGGAGTGGCCATCATGATGTCACCAACAGCAACCAAAGCTCTCATGCAGTGGGAACCAATCTCCTCCAGGATAATGACAGCCAGGTTCAACTCAAAAGGAAGGAAAGTTACAGTCATTCAATGCTATGCGCCTACAAACGTCTCAGAACAAGAGAAGAAGGAGGCGTTCTACAGACAACTACAAGCAATAATGGACAACGTCCCAAATGGCGATATCAAAATCCTGATGGGCGACATGAATGCGAAGCTGGGAGGAGACAACACAGGAAGAGAACTCACCATGGGTCGTGAGGCCCTCGGTGAAATGAACGACAATGGTGAACTCTTCTCAGACTTCTGCGCCTTCAATGATTTGGTGATTGGCGGTAGTGTGTTCAAACACAAGGATATACACAAGACGACATGGATTTCACCAGATGGAAACACCAAGAATCAAATAGACTTCATCTCAATTTCAAGAAAGTGGAGACGGAGCCTACTGGACACAAGGTCAAGGAGAGGAGCAGATGTGGGTTCAGACCACTATCTAGTACAAGGGACTTTCAAGGTGAAACTAAAAGCCTCGAGGATAGCTGGGGATAGGCCACAATGCAAGTTCAACACTCAATTACTGAAGGACACAACCACAAAAGACACCTTCACTGCAACTGTCAGAGCAAAGCAGGAAACACTACGCGACATCACTGAAGAATCATGCGTGGAAGAACATTGGAAGTCTCTGAAGGCGATTCTCAACGAAACGTGTTCAACGGTTCTAGGAAGAAAGAAGAGACAAGACAAGGAATGGCTCTCAACGGACACTTGGAAATTAATAGAAGAGAGGAGAATGGTGAAAGAGAAAATGATTCAATGCAAGGACGGACAGGAGAAGGAGACGATGAGCTCAACTTACAAAGCATTGGACAAAGAAGTGAAGAAAAGTGCTAGGAAGGACAAAAGACGATTCTACGACAATCTAGCTACTGAAGCTGAAAAGGCAGCAGGCAAAAGGGACCTGAGGACACTATATCAGATAACCAAATCTCTATCCGGGAAGAGACCAACACAAGCGAAACCTATAAAAGACAGCCAAGGGAAGCCCATTACCAAGGAAGAAAAACAGATTAAACAATGGGCGGATCACTTCAAAGGACTCTTGAACCGACCATCACCTGCAACCCGTCCAGAAATACCAACAACAGCGCGCACACAACTGCAAGTTGACACCAATCCTCCAACGAGAGCTGAAGTCTTGAACGCAATCAAACTTCTGAAAGCTGGAAAAACAGCCGGACCAGATGGAATACCCCCTGAAGCACTGAAAGCAGACCCAGAGACGACAGCAGACATGCTGACTCCATTATTGCAAAAGGTCTGGAAGGAGGGAAAGGTGCCTACTGACTGGAGGAAAGGTTACCTCGTGAAACTACCAAAGAAGGGCGACTTAGGACTCTGCAAGAACTGGCGAGGAATCATGCTCCTATCGACGCCAAGTAAAATCCTGAGTCGCATCATCCTGGAGAGATTAAAGGACGCACTGGAGACAGAACTCCGACCAGAACAAGCTGGATTCAGGAAAGGCAAATCATGTACTGACCAAATTGCAACTCTACGCATCATCATCACAGAACAAAGCATGGAATGGCAATCAAACCTCTACCTCAACTTTATAGACTTTGAGAAGGCCTTCGACAGCGTTGATCGTGAAGTAATTTGGAAATTACTCGAGTACTATGGCGTACCCCAAATATTCATCAACCTTATTCAACAGCTGTACGACAACGGCACCTGCCAAGTGATCCACAACGGAAGACTCAGCGAGGCGTTTGGAGTAAACACAGGAGTCAGACAAGGGTGCTTACTATCACCAATGATATTCCTAATTGTGGTGGACTGAATGGATTATGCGTCAGACTGTGGGAAACGAGAAGACAGGAATATCCTGGACCGACGTGAAGAACCTAGAAGACCTGGATTTCGCGGATGACTTATGTTTGATGTCACACACAATCGAAGACTTACAAGCGAAAACCGACAAACTGGTCGAAGAAGCAGCCGGCGAAGACAGGACTCCAGGTAAACATAGACAAGACGGAGGTTATGAAAATAACCAACCAACAACAGCAACAACATCCAACGTCAATCACCATCAACGGGAGGGATTTGAAAGAGGTTACTTCATTCACTTATCTAGGGAGCATTGTCTCAACTACAGGAGGAACGGACGAGGATGTCAAATCGAGCGAGAATCGGGAAGGCGAGAAACACATTCATCAGCCTGAAATCAATCTGGAAATCTTCGTCACTCAGCATCACCAACAAAATTCGGATTTTCAATACAAACGTAAAGTCAGTTCTTCTATACGGATCAGAAACTTGGCGGGTCACAAAGAATATTTCCAAAAGGTTGCAGACCTTTATTAACAACTGTCTTCGCTCAATACTGAAGATCAGATGGCCGGAAAGAATCACCAACAAGGAATTATGGGAACAAACAAAGCAAGAACCAATCGCCCAACAAATATGCAGGAGAAAGTGGAGATGGATCGGACACTCGCTGAGGAGACCGCTGGGTGACATCGCGCGCCAAGCCCTCGAGTGGAACCCGAAAGGGAAGCGGCGTGTGGGACGTCCAAGGGTGACATGGAGGAGATCGTGTGAAGAGGAGTTGAAAGAATATGGATTAACATGGATGCAGGCGAAAAATACAGCAGAAGACAGAAGCAAATGGAGACGTGCAGTTGAAGCCCTATGTTCCACTAGGAACCCAAGGGAGCAATAATAATAATAATAATAAAACTCTATCACAATCCATAAACCTCAACTCTACTGCTAATCAAATTTTGAGAATTTCAATTCTCAAACTGGCAATCTGCAAACTAATTCGTCATCTTCAGTTTACCCACTTCCTGATGAAATTTCGTCAGTTTTCTTTTAAAAACGAAACTACGCAGATCACAATATATGATCCGTTTGATACCATAAACAGTAATCAATAAAGCAAGCATGAATGAATCACGCTACATACTACTGATTGAGAGAAATGAGTAGTTGGAAACCATTCAGATCAAGCAATACTACTCACTAGTCAGATCAAGACGATCTAATCTCTGGACCATTGCTTCGTTCGTTTAGGAGCAAGGTTATCATCTGAGAGAGCTGAAATTGAGAATTTGATCCAATATATTACTAGTTCGCTCCATTAGCTGGCCAGAATCCAGGTGGTGTGGACTGACTCGACTCAGAGAACCGTCCCCAAATCAGCGTAACAGTTGTCCGGTGTTTAGATCAATCCCATCTAAGTTAGTACAATTCAAATACTCGTATTAACCTATCAATCAGTAAGTAGTTCATGGCATTTTTAGCTAAAGAATTTCATTTGATTACGTAATCCTTGACTTCAGCCTCATTTCCGCCTTTGCTATAGTGTAATTTGAGTTGTCTCTTGATTTTATGATTTGAGTTGAACTCAGTACACTGTCACCCAATTTATTAGTTACTCACCATCTCTCGTCTTTATTACGTAACTCCTTTACCATTGTATGCATACATTTACTTTGTTCAAACTTGAGCCCTCTGTGCAAAACTACATAAGCGTAGATTTTCTGAGCACTGTCCAATAAGTCCAGAACTTCCTGTCAACTGATATCATGTAGAATTTACAAGTATGTTAAAACTTTTCTGCACATAAACTTAATAATAACTTATTTAGGCTGTAAGTAACTGATGAGAAGCCAACGAAATAAATGATGGTACCATATTATTCTACACAGACCACTGTTGTTCTTGCTTTCTTCAAATTCATAAAGGATAATAAATGTATGGAGAAGAATAAAACTTGTGCACTGTGGTAGAGTGTAATTCCATTATGAGTAAATTTTGTTTTGATAAAGTCTCACAGTGTTATACAGTAATGTTTACTGATGCTTAGTCCTTTTTCAAGTACTTTTATCTCATTAGAGTTTAGTTCCCTTGATAGGAGGTTGATCACCCACTTTGTTCTGTCGATAGAGGATGAAGCATTGATATCAGTTTCATTTGTTGTGTTCTTTTCTTCTATTAGTTTGTTGAATTTTTTGATTTGCGTGATTTTTGATTTTCTTAATGCGGATTCTCTGGCTTTCTTGGATGTTTCAACAACAATTATATAATCTTTGTCATTGATTATACATTTGAGTTTGTGTTTGAGTTTTTCAATTTGATTTCGTATATTATTTAGTTTTACAGTAACTCGATGTAATTCTCCTCTTAGACATAATTTACTGACATGTTCTGCGGCTGATGTTATTTTGTTTGAAGTAATTGGAGTACGTAGACGTAAATATTTTGGAATTATATGGCTTTTTAAGCATCGACTGTTAAAAATCCGATGATTTGTAAATCTTGCTTCAGTTTGACTAAGTCGTGTGAGTTTGTTGATAAGCTTCCTAGTAGGAAGACCATATGTATCATTGATATAAGAATAAAACTTGTGCACTGTGGTAGAGTGTAATTCCATTATGAGTAAATTTTGTTTTGATACAGTCTCACAGTGTTATACAGTAAACATTACTGTATAACACTGTGAGACTTTATCAAAACAAAATTTACTCATAATGTATGGAGAACTCTGGTTTCTTAAGGAAACTGATAAAATTTCACCCTGAACTCTATAAAATTGCCAGTCAGATTCCTTTGGCCTTTTTGTTATTTTACAATACTTTTTTATGAAGAAAATAGGAGACAATTCAGAGGAGAAAATTTTCTTTATCGACGAAATCATCTTCAGAGGCTGTACAGTTGTATTTATATTTACCAAAAATGTATGGTAGTCTATTATTGAGTAATAAGAAGGGTGGTTGATATAATTGATATAATTACCTAGAAGTGGTTTCGAGAGTAAACATGAAAGTTATAAATTACGCAATACTCAACGGCACAAAAGAAGAAAGCGTTAGAAATTTGATAAAGTTAAAATTGCTATTGATTGAGAAAAAGAAAGGTAGTTGAATGTCCACTTAACAAGTGTAGAGAGTGTGAGAAAATGTACAAAAGGAACACGCAGGGGCTATAACAGTGAATTAATTATTAAAGTGAAAGCAAACTAATCATTAAAAATAAAAAATGAAAAATTTACAGGGATCGACTGATGATGAAGAAGTCACACGACCATGATAGAATAAGAGACTGGAAAAACTTTTCTGTATACAGAGTTCAGGGTGACATTGACAAATTGCCAACGCCTCCACCACATACACAAATGCTGAAACCTGATGCCTTTGTATTATTTGGCTACACCTTGTAGATAATCTTGAAAGACGTCTCTGGTGGAGCTGAGTGACTTGCATTCACCAAGTGCTCGAGAACTGAGCTAGTAACTGCCTTGCGTTGTTCTTTTGCTATCCATGACGGTTAATACTCAGAGATGTGTTTGGAAACTGTGCTCTTTCTGCGGCCAATATAACTAACTCCACAGAAGCGGGTGAATTTATAAACACACACTGAAGTGGCAGATAGCGGCAGTTTATCCTTCACACACCCACTGATCATTTGTAGGCTGTAGAAATTGATCCATAGCTCAGCCATGAAGAAGGCTTTTCTCAGTGATCTAGATAAGCAGTGGTTCTTTAGGATCTCAGCTGCGGTATCATCTTTAAACTCAACGTTCACGAATAGCAGTTTCTGCGGCACCGTCTGGATTCTTTCTAGTTTTTGCTTTACTTTCATGTTTTTCTCGATGAATCTTGAAGGATGTCTATTCTTCACGAGGACTCATCCGAGTATCTCCTCAGTTTTAATAAACATTAATGGAAATAATAAACTGAAAAAATGTGATATTGATTTTATTTCTACCTTCTGTTTCTTTATATATTCAGGTGGTAGCAGTGGAGCTGCTGTGCTTGGTGCTATAAAAGCTATCAAGAAACACGGTCTGGGTAAAGAGCATAGAGTTGTAGTTCTATTACCTGATGGTGTTCGTAATTACATGTATGTTTTATTTTATGTTTATGTAAACTTCGTATTCATATAATTAAGAACACATAAATTAGCGGAGAGATCACTTTTGGTAACTTCTTTTCAAAGCTGTACACTGATTTAGTGGGTTTATATAATTAACGCAGATTGACAACAGAGATTAAATTCCATACTAGTTTGTTTATTAGATATATCACACAGTGAAGGAAACAGTATTATTTACTGGATGACGACGTTTCCAACAAAATTTATTGTTCATAATCATATCAATCATAATCACACGACTTCGAAACTTGAGTTTTATAGCTTTCTTTCTTCTCTCCTATTTGTCGTCGTTGGGGTAGTAAAACTTTCCAGATATCAATGGACAGGTGTTGAATCATTCCTATTACATGTATTTACAGTTGATTCGACAAACAAACTTCCGTTATCAATCTCTCCCTATACCCTGTGACATTAGATTTTAAAACTGTCATCCTATCCCATCTTATTGTATGGTTGTGTGCAATTGCACGTAGTGAGTGCTGTAGCTGAAATATTCTCTAGATTTCTTATCTTATTTGGGTCAACCAATCTAGATATTGCTAGGTTTTTATGTTCGGTTAGCCTCCCTGACTGACCCTGTTCTACTACTTTGACCTATGTATTTGACTTGACAATCATTGGAGGCAGGGTATGAGATAAACTAAATTGTTTTGTTTCAAAGACTCCACAGGATTGATCCTTTAACCGACAAGGCTTGTTTCTAATTGAGTTTGTGGTTGGTTTGAATGCCAGTCACTTTTATTCCTGCCTTGTTAAGAATTCTGCGTAAGCTGGTTTCCGAGGTTTCTTCCTTGTATGGAATTACTACTGATGATTTAGATTCCTTATTGTTGGTGTTGTCACTATCTTGCGCATGTTATTATTATTATAAATGTTTTGTATTTTCTCAGTGAATGAAAAACAAAACTATATTGTTTACACTGACGTTTCGCTATTTCATCTTGCTAATAGCTTTACCAAATTAGTATTATTAAACCAGAATTTATGTATAACAACTTAATCATCGTACATCAGCATGAGGCAATTTTTTAATGTTGTCGAGTTGGTCAATTTATAAAGATAACAAAATTGAGTGTAGATCGTTGCATTTGATAAGCGTGTTGAATTATGAGAGCAGCATGTGTTTATATGATGAAATTGTTTATTACATTCGTGTTGACTTGATCAATTCATGGGAGAGGGGGAGGTGTTGTAACCAGATCAAATTCTGTTTTAGTGCATCATTTCTATTCACACAATTTAGATTCCGCTTGATAAGAATTGCTTCCTTTATTCCATAATGGGTAAATTTTGTTTTGATAAAGTCTCACAGTATTATACAGTAATGTTTGCTAATGACGTTTCGAGCACAATTTATTGCTCATAATCATATCAAGGTACTCATACGACTTCCTAACTTCATTTATATAATTCCATTATTTTTCACTTGATTTTATTGGTAGTGATGAGTGACGAATCATTCCTATTGCATGCGTTTGGTGTAGACTCGATGAACAAGGATTTAGTAATCAACCTCTCTCTCCACCTACCTAGATTACTCTTTAGAATTTTAACCCTCTCCCACCATGCTATTGTGTGGTTGTGTGTTAATGCATGCATTGCAATTGCTGAGCTTTTTTCCAAATCACTTATCTTCTCGGTGTCAACCATTCTTACCTTAGCTAAATTCTTATGTTCCGATAATCTGACTACTCCTGACCTACTAGTTTGACCATTACTGTATAACACTCTGAGACTTTATCAAAACAAAATTTGCCCATAATGGAATTACACTCTATCACAGTGTAAAAGTTTTATTCTTATATCATTGCTTCCTTTATATTAGACACTCTTTGTAATTTCTGAAATTTTTCTGGTTGGTGATTTCAGTAGTGTGTAAATCAATTTTTTGACCTGATTGTATAGCGTGTCGATCACCTCTAGCTGATAATTTCTCAAGCTTTTCTAGTTCAGCAGGATTTATAATATACGCAGTGTGTTTTGACTAGTTAGCAGTTACTAATGCCAATCCAATGACTTGTCCTTGAATTTACTGTTTAGGTCACATAAACAGTGAGTCATGCTATGCTTCCTCCTGACCTCAAAGTAGCAGGTTTGACTAACCTCACAGAAATTGAATCACTTCAAATCAACCAAAATCCAGCTAGCTACTTGGGTGAACCGATAGTACATAAGATTAAACACAATGAATATATTCAAAGTGGAAATTACCTGCGTTTTCCGAAATAACTGAAACGACTATCTGGTTTTTAGAACATCTTGATCTGTTTGACAGTCACCAGTGATTAACAGGATTCATTATTTCCAAACTTCTCATATCAGTCGGTGGTAAATACCATCGTACAACTTTGTTAGCATCAGTGTTCTTAAGTATCTAATATGATCACGAATTGATATCAGTTAGATGAGCATTGAAAACCAGGGAGTACTGGACACATGTTTTCTCTTATTTTGGAAATCACTGGCAGTACGCATTCGTCAGGTTTCAAACCTAGGACTTTCTGGTTACAAGGTAAGCGAGTGAGGACCAATAAATACTCGCCGATAACATTGGCCAAAATCATAAATTGATAGAAATTAGAATTCATAGGTCATCAAGTCACGTCTCATTGGCTGAGCAGTCTAAGAGTTTACCTTGTTCCCTGAAGGTCCTGTGTTTGAAACCCGGCAGTTGCATACTGATGAGGAGTCCCAAATTGGGACGAAACACCTGCCTAGTACTTTTCTAGTTTTCAGAGTTTCTCTAACTGAGATATCAATTTGTGATTAAGGCTGAAACAAATCAAATCCCTACAAACAAGCTGTCGAATACATAAAGCATCTATCAGATGATTTAGTAAACTTCATCATTAAGATTAAATCTACCTTCAATGAATGAAAAGCAAGAAGCACTGCCGTAGATTCTGAAACACACTATCCGCTTCTGACAAAATCCATTTTGAGATTTCAGACATATATTCAATTACTGTCAAATTCCTTAATTCACTGTGATGTGTAACATGCAACTGTTATAACGACTGAATAATTTTTATTAAACTTTTCTATTTGAAGGTGGATCTTATTTTGAACATAGTTTTGTTGTTTGGTTTGTTTTTTAAATATTAGGACAAAATTTTTAACTGACGATTGGATGTTCAGCCGAGGATACATGAACTTTCCACTTGGTGATTCATTTCGAAATAAGTTAGTGTACACATACATACATAAATGGATATTTTTCTTCTTCTTTTTGCCCTTTGAAGATTTTCTTTGTTTTTTGTTAGTAGTTTATAATTATGTGACGTTTTTTATTCTAACAGCTACAATTGGGAAATAGTTATTTCTGTTGAGAGATTAGAATATTTTCAAGTATTAGTTGTGTAGGGTTTTTTGTTTGATTGCATGGATGATTTCATCATGAGCTGACATCAGTTAGAGAAACACTGGAAAACTTGGGAGTACTGGACAGCGGTTTCCTCCTAGTTTGGGACTCTTCAGATTAGAATATTACTACGATTTAGCACTTTAATTTCTATAAATCAGTGGAGAGAGTTCAAACTCTGCTTTGATTATATCAACCTGAGAAATTGAATGATATTTTATAGGCTCTGATAATTTTAGCCTAACTTACAGATTTTTTGATTGGCAGCAGCCAACAGTGAGATTCAACACTAGTCAACTGGACATCCCTACATCTCTCTGAGTGATAGTGTTCACAGTGGGACTTAAGCCAGTGCTAATCATTCCAGACACTAAATTGTTAATGGACAGAATCTTCTGATATTGAGTTATAAACAATGTAATACATCAAGGATTTCATCATAATAATGGTCTACTAGCTCGTCTTGTAACCAGAAGGTCCTGGGTTTGAACCGTGGTGGTGGGTGTGTACTGATGAAGAGTCCACAACAAGGCTGACGAAACAACTGTCCAGGACTACCTGCAGGTTTTGCAATGGTTCTCTAACTGATGTCAGCTCATGATGAAATCTTCCAACCAACTTTGCAATCATATATTTAGTAAAGAAATCATTAGACCAATCAGATACTGGTAACTGTGTTCCAGAAAATGTGTTGCATAAAGTGGTGAGATATTTAAAAAGGGATGACTAAGTGACGATTAGAAGAGATAGAAAAGTTGGTAATATGCAATGAGTGTGAAAAACAACTAATCAGTCTAAATGTACAATAGCTAATTGAAATACGCCAAAGTGTTTATATAAAACCTGTATAAGAAATGCATTGTCCATAAACAATGAAAGTGATGGTTGTAATAATAATAACAGTGAACTAAAACAACAAAATGAAACGAAATTATGGTAAGAATGTTGTTCCATAAGGCGAGTAAGTGGATCTGCTGCTTTTGAACGCAGACGTCCGGCTTCAGGTTCTGAACAGCCAGTGATTCAGCAATGTATGAATGGTGTATTTTCAGTTCTTTCGCGCGATTTTGAGGAGAATTGTTTAGTACTGTGAGGCAGTCATGCAATGTTGCCCGATGTATAGAGTTAACACGGTGTTCGAGAATAGAACTGCTGGCATTCATCTTTTTTTCCTCTGCCTTGCTAGCCTGAAGAGTGTTTATGAACAAAAGCGTTTCTCACCAGGTTACTGTGCCATCAGGTGCATTAGCCAATGTCATTGGCAAGTACTTGTTCTCACACCCGACCTAATGGACCCCACTAGTTACTGGCCTGGAATTTCGAAGAAAAGTCTTGACACGTGCTGTCCATCATGCCGGATGTGAGAACAAATACTCACCGAAGACATTGGTTGATGGTTGCACTAAACCACAAATTTGTAGGAGTTAGAATTCATGTTCCATAGGGTTGGATCCCAGTGACTGAATGGTGTTCGAGCTTGCCTTGTAACTGTACGATCCTGAGTTAGAACCCTGGTGATTGCGTACTGAGAAGGGTCCCAAAACTAGGAAGAAACAGCTGTCTAGTACTTCATGGTTCTTAATGATTTTCTAACTGACATCAGTCCATGGTCGAACCTGAAATATAATCACATGTGATAACATCACCCTATCCAAGTGATATAACTATATTATATGGGAGATTTTTCGTCATTTAAAATCCCGGAACGCCTGATTTTGATACTACCTAGTTTTCCAGATGGAAGTAAGTCAAAGGGGGATTCGATCTTGTGAATTATCTCAAAAATCACATGACAAATCGAAGAAGCAGTTGGTTATTCCAATGAACACACGGAATAGCCACTGTAGAAATTGATGAGAGGATACTTACTTCGTGATTTAACCCCTTTAATTTATCCTAAGTGTAGTCAATTGAATGAGTTTCTTTTCCTGCTATGGTTAATGAAATTGACGTTTAATTAATATAATGGCTAATGGGTGATTTAAGATGATGGTATGATTCAAACCAGTAGCCTACAACATACTGATTTTCGTTCCATTCACCCATTTCGCCTTGATTACTTTGAATAAGCTGAGAACCAAAATATTTGCACTTACGGTACTAAGTACATAGGAAGGACTGGACTGAGAGGTGAGTATCTACTAGATTTTCGAGCATTTGCCCTAAAAGTTTTCATATGAAAAGTAAGAAAGCTTTTGCAGGTACAATGACTAAACACTAAATGATTAAGACAGTGCATGCAGTCGAAATCACTTAAGCCTGAAGAATAATCAATATACAGAAAAAAAGCTCTGATCACTTCACTTTGTAGAAGCCATTACTATCAAATGATTTCTACTTAATCCTTGTGTACGTTAAGATAGTGTGATCAATCTCACAGTATTCTATTAACTGCATGACTGTGTTTCCTATGCGTCACAATGTTTCGTTTTGATTATAACTCACTGAGCTGAAGTCATTATTCATCTTCCAACTTACTTAATTGTTTGTTAACTAACTTAGTAATCTTATGAAGAGTGATCACGGCTAAATTTATTGTCATCATCAAAAAGAGATACAATTTTAGATTTATATTCACATTGGTTCATGATGACGACTCCAGAACCTTTATCAGGTTTCGTAATTGTTATATTAGGATTTTTCTGAAGCTCTTTCAAGGCTTGGAAGCTATAACTAAATATATTTGATCTTGTTCGTCTTACAAAATCATATATCAAAAATGTTTAACAAATCTACAAGGACTACTTGCCCTTCAAATTGATGCGTCACTTATTTTATCTGAATTATCAATTATATACCACATGAAATATCTTCAGTTTTGTGGCAATACTACCTAGAAAACAAAATCAAACATACGAAATAACTTGAAAAGTTCAATTGATGATAGAAACCGCGTAAATCTTTCCCCGGTGAATCCCGATAAATATGTGACAAATCTTTCTGCTCATCAGAGAGAGCCTTTATCCCTTGGACCTGAATTTTGTCTTCCTCGTATGAATTTTACGGATTTAGCCATCTATTCTGAGTTCGGAAAGTTTTACGACAAATTTAAACCTCTTGCCACAAGGTCTGATGAAGATTGGGGTTGGTTTAAAGCCAAGATGGTGGATATAACTTACCAGTTTTCAAAAAACGATCATTTGAAACAAAAGAGCCGTTTAAATTTCCAGAGTAATATTCTTACTGTTAATAACAGATAAATTTCCAATCCCATCCACTCCTCTCGAATATTCCATTATGTTATCCGTAAATCAGCTGTGGTTGTTCAACTATTCAGTATCCTGCATTTATACCTCTTATTCCATTACTATGTCCTTTGAATTTAAGTAGTTTTCGTACGGTTTTATACATTTACATTGGGATAGCAATGGGATAAACTTAGCTATTCCTTTGACTTACACCAGAGACATAATCTTAATGTGTACAGAAAATATTAGATTCACATTCCAAGAAAAGGCATATAAACAAATCGATGGTGTTGCGATGGTGAGTCCTATTGGACCCCTGTTAGCTGATATATTCATGCCGAAATTGGAAAAACAAATGCAAGGTATGCTTGGAGAATTTATGCTATATAAAAGTTATGTAGATGATACTCTCATTATTGGTAATAATAGTAAATCTGTTGAAAACTTTATTACCCTATTTAATCATATTCATCCAAATATCCGAGTGATTTCCGAACTCGAATCGAATAACAAACTCGGTTTCCTGGATATCATAATGACCAGGAGAGATGATGAAAAGATTCAGAGATCTATTTTTTGTGAACAGACATGGAGTGGACAATGTCTTCATTTTATCAGTTTTGTTCCTATCCAGTATAAACGTTCCCTAGTGAAATGTTTGTTCTCAAGGGCTCGAAAAATATGTACGAGTGACACATTGATGGATGAGTTTCGACATATACATTCAGTTTTATTAGCTAATGATTATCCGGAAAACTTTATCACTTGTCACAGTGAGGATAGACCACTTCCGTACCGAAGAAAGCTATCTTTATTAACCTACCATTCAAGGGTGACTAGATTATGCAGTTGACAGTTCAAAAACTTCGGCCAGCCATCAAACACACATTCTACACCGCATCTCTTTTTCTTACTTGCTAAACATTTTCGATCTCTGTACCTACGATTAAAGGACGAAATTCTGTGGACTCTACTTCAAACTGTATCTACAAGTTCACCTGCAGCTGAGGTGACACCTATATAAGGTAGAACCAACAGAATATTTCAATGTCGTCGAAAAGAATATGTTCCGAAATGGTTACTTAATCATACAGAAAATCCCAATGTTATTAATCTGAATAGAAATCCAGCATCATCTATTGCAAAACACTCGTTGACGTCAGGCCACAAAATCAATATTATTAATGACTGTTTCACAATTATTTCACATAACTGTAATTCAAGGTTTGTTATTGAAGGTAATGGAAGCACTTTGGCTTAATCACACACAGCCTAAACTGTGTGTGTACCAAAAACAACGGAATTCGATTAATGTCGCCTACCATGGACTACATGGCCTGTTTAAATATGACTGGTCATTAGTATGTACTTTTGTTTGTTTTTTATTTAACTGAGTAATTGTCATGATCTTTATTTTATTTTATTATTGTTAACCATGTTAGTTGTAAAGCGAATGAAAAGAAACCACGAGATGATGTGATTTCTCGAAATTTATCATCCAAATGCCTTATTCAAATATAAAAACTACTATTGTTTAGTTTTTGAAAGTGAAATGATCTGGGATCGCCCAGAATATGCAGACAACTGGACGTTATACGTGATTAATGCACTTAGGTCAACTGTAGCTCAGCCGATAATGCATCAGAATAGTTTGAACAAAGCAAGAATATACATAAGAAGAACTCTTTTCTACTTCACGTCTAGACTTTATCTACTGACAGCTCAAAATAGAAAAAAGCATGTTGTCATCAATGTAAATACATAAAACCGTACAAAAACTACTTAAACTCAAAGAACGTAGTAATGGAATGGGACAACAGCTTATTAACAGACAATATAATGGAATTTAATTGATGGATAGTGACTAGCAGGGGAATCTAGGATGCGCATTTCGCCTAGTTAGGATTCGCCACCTGAATGTACCTGCATTTCTCAGTAAGCGATGATTTTCCCACAGAGGTTCGAACCCATTGCCCATAGTATTAAACGCAAAAGCGTTATGCACTAAACCATGTCAACCTGAGACCGAGCAGTTCCGTCCAATCAATCGGCGGGTAAAATCTAAAATTCAATTAAAATACATAATGGAATATTCGAGAGGAGTAGATGGGATTGAAACGCAGTCATGCAGTTAATAGAATACTGTGAGATTGATCACACTATCTTAACGTACACAAGGATTAAGTAGAAATCATTTGATAGTAATGGCTTCTACAAAGTGAAGTGATCAGAGCTTTTTTTCTGTATATTGATTATTCTTCAGGCTTAAGTGATTTCGACTGCATGCACTGTCTTAATCATTTAGTGTTTAGTCATTGTACCTGCAAAAGCTTTCTTACTTTTCATGTGAAAACTTTTAGGGCAAATGCTCGAAAATCTAGTAGATACTCACCTCTCAGTCCAGTCCTTCCTATGTACTTAGTACCGTAAGTGCAAATATTTTGGTTCTCAGCTTATTCAAAGTAATCAAGGCGAAATGGGTGAATGGAACGAAAATCAGTATGTTGTAGGCTACTGGTTTGAATCATACCATCATCTTAAATCACCCATTAGCCATTATATTAATTAAACGTCAATTTCATTAACCATAGCAGGAAAAGAAACTCATTCAATTGACTACACTTAGGATAAATTAAAGGGGTTAAATCACGAAGTAAGTATCCTCTCATCAATTTCTACAGTGGCTATTCCGTGTGTTCATTGGAATAACCAACTGCTTCTTCGATTTGTCATGTGATTTTTGAGATAATTCACAAGATCGAATCCCCCTTTGACTTACTTCCATCTGGACAACTAGGTAGTATCAAAATCAGGCGTTCCGGGATTTTAAATGACGAAAAATCTCCCATATAATATAGTTATATCACTTGGATAGGGTGATGTTATCACATGTGATTATATTTCAGGTTCGACCATGGACTGATGTCAGTTAGAAAATCATTAAGAACCATGAAGTACTAGACAGCTGTTTCTTCCTAGTTTTGGGACCCTTCTCAGTACGCAATCACCAGGGTTCTAACTCAGGATCGTACAGTTACAAGGCAAGCTCGAACACCATTCAGTCACTGGGATCCAACCCTATGGAACATGAATTCTAACTCCTACAAATTTGTGGTTTAGTGCAACCATCAACCAATGTCTTCGGTGAGTATTTGTTCTCACATCCGGCATGATGGACAGCACGTGTCAAGACTTTTCTTCGAAATTCCAGGCCAGTAACTAGTGGGGTCCATTAGGTCGGGTGTGAGAACAAGTACTTGCCAATGACATTGGCTGATGCACCTGATGGCACAGTAACCTGGTGAGAAACGCTTTTGTTCATAAACACTCTTCAGGCTAGCAAGGCAGAGGAAAAAAAGATGAATGCCAGCAGTTCTATTCTCGAACACCATGTTAACTCTATACATCGGGCAACATTGGATGACTGCCTCACAGTACTAAACAATTCTCTCCAAAATCGCGCGAAAGGACTTCAAATACACCATTCATACATTGCTGAATCACAGGCTGTTCAGAACCTGAAGCCGGACGTCTGCGTTTAAAAGCAGCAGATCCACTTACTCGCCTTATGGAACAACATTCTTACCATAATTTCGTTTCATTTTGTTGTTTTAGTTCACTGTTATTATTATTATTATTGTTATTACAACCGTCACTTTCATTGTTTATGGACAATGCATTTCTTATACAGGTTTTATATAAACACTTTGGCGTATTTCCATTAGCTATTGTACATTTAGACTGATTAGTTGTTTTTCACACTCGTTGCATATTACCAACTTTTCTATCTCTTCTAATCGTCACTTAGTCATCCCTTTTTAAATATCTCACCACTTTATGCAACACATTTTCTGGAACACAGTTACCAGTATCTGATTGGTCTAATGATTTCTTTACTAAATATATGATTGCAAAGTTGGTTGGAAGATTTCATCATGAGCTGACATCAGTTAAAGAACCATTGGAAAACCTGCAGGGAGTCCTGGACAGTTGTTTCGTCAGCCTTGTTGTGGACTCTTCATCAGTGCACACCCACCACCACGGTTCGAACCCAGGACCTTCTGGTTACAAGACGAGCTAGTAGACCATTATTATGATGAAATCCTTGATGTATTACACTGTTTATAACTCAATATCGGAAGATTCTGTCCATTAACAATTTAGTGTCTGGAATGATTAGCACTGGGTTTAAGTCCCACTGTGAACACTATCACTCAGAGGGATGTAGGGATGTCCAGTTGACTAGTGTTGAATCTCACTGTTGGCTGCTGCCAATCAAAAAATCTGTAAGTTAGGCTAAAAATATCAGAGCCTATAAAATACCATTCAATTTCTCAGGTTGATATAATCAAAGCAGAGTTTGAACTCTCTCCACTGATTTATAGAAATTAAAGTGCTAAATCGTAGTAATATTCTAATCTGAAGAGTCCCAAACTAGGAGGAAACCGCTGTTCATTACTCCCAGGTTTTAATTATAATAGGAATCTCATGCACCAAAATGTCGGAAAATTACGGCTAGAAGTTCACTCTGGTCGAATTAGGGCGGGTGTCTGTGTGTTCTTCTTTGAAACTTAGACGTCTGGCTTGACGTTCTGAATAGCCAGTGATTCGGCCGATCATGGATGTCGTTTTTGTAGTTCTTTCTTGTGATACTGAAGGACACCTCTTCGTGGCACTGTGAAGTAGTTATGCGTGGGTGAGCAACATCCAGGCAGGGTGGATGAATTATTTGAGGACATAACTACTTGTACTCTTAATTTATTCTCTGGTTAGCTCGGCTGGACAGTGTTCTACAATACGTTTATGAACTTGATTTTATGAACGGAGAACATACTTTTCTCCATAATAACAAGTAAATAAATAAGTACACATTAAAGTAGCCAAAAGCAGTATCTTAACGCTTGACCTGATTAACTGTCTGTTGAGGAATGTGATTTGTAAGATGGCTGCCTGAAATGTCTAAATTACACTTCAAATTATGTAATACATTTCCTAGAATATAATTACCAGTATCTGACTGGTTTTATGAATTCTTCTTTCAATATATAAGTGTGATTGTACAGCGGTTGAAAGTGATTTATTGAATAGAAGTTTCTCTTCGTTGTTTGCGTCTTCTTCTTCTCAATCCCAGATGGTGTCTCAATCAATTAAAAGCCTGCTGTTCTTCTTCTTCTTATAATTCAATAAGACTAGGATTGATGAGTGAGAAAAACCTAGCTGGACAGCAATTGTGACGAGAAACAGACAGCAATGTATCATTCATTCTCATATGTCGATAAGGCAGTTTCCTTATCGACTTCAGAGAGACGACAGCCGCCTAGCTCAGTTGATAGATAGCCAGACTGGTAATTTGAACCCTGACTCGTTTCAGATTTTGACTTGACTCTTCAGTCAACGGCAATTACATCAGTAACAGTTTGTCAGCCCAAAACATCTAAGTTAGACTTTAAACTTTAAGAAGTAGCAACTCATAGATGACGCTAAATCCAACAATCACACGAAAAGGCAACTTTTAGTTATACAACACATATATTGATAAAAATAACCACTGAAATGCATGGAACTGTTTCACGGGATACCTTTCTCTGATGTGTGACAAAAATGCCTATTAGAGTTTTCTTTTGGAGTGTCAGTAGAGTAATTAAACCACATTCTGTGCGTATATTCATCTAGGTCCTCGAAACCTGATCCCAATCTTTCCTTAAACCAACTTTTATGCGAAAGCATCCGCGCAACTAACCCTAATCTAAACCGAACCAACCCTAATACTTCCTTTATTAGATTAGTCTAAAACTTAATCTTTCTCAAACTTGGCATAAAAATTATCAGATATCCGACTTAATATCATAACGCTTCATTAAGTATATTTAATTCATAATTTTAGCATTATTTATCTGATTTTACTAGCTTTCTGAATTAGCGTCTCAAGGTCATTAGTGTGGTCGTCCTCCTTTGGTGCCTAAAGTTTACAGGATTTCATCATGTGCTGACATCAGTTAGAGAACCATTGGAAAACCTACAGGGAGTTCTGAACAACTGTTTCGTCCTAGTTTGGAACTCTTTATCAGTACGCACCCACCGGGGTTCGAACTTACGACTTTCTGGTTACAAGGTGAGCTCGTATACCATTAAGCCACTGGGACCCGATCCAATGGCCGATGAATTCTAACTTCTGCTTATTCATGACATAGCGCGACCCCTAGCCAATGTCTTCGGCTAGTATTTGTCCTCACACCCGAACAGCTGCACCCTACTGGTCACGGCTTCCCACTGGAACCCCAGGTAACTACCTACCTGAATAGGGAAAGTCGCTGGTGAGCATCTCATTAATATTCAAGTGTTGGTTTGTAGGGATTTGATTAGTTACAAGATTTTCATCATGAGCTGACATTAGTTAGAGGATTTATCCCCAAAGCTATCGCAAGTCGCAGCCTTAGCAATTATAATCTCGCTGTTAACAGGAGAACAACTGAAGTATTATATGAGTTATGTGGTTTGGGATCAGATAAATTCATATCAGTAGTCAAATGTTGACAATGTTTTTTCAGAAAATGTTTAATAATATCTTCTGACTTAAACTCTCTTTCTTTATCGTTAAGCTGGATAACTAGTAAAGTAGACAAACTACTCAACGACCTACCGAAAACAGTTAGAATATCCACTCAACAAACTATAAAACAGGCATCAGATCTAATGAAATCTGAGAATGTACGCGCATTGATAGTACAAAATGAAAATAAAGATACCAGGTAAGTAAATAAATAAATATACACATATACTTTGATTATATCTTTTGAGTTATTGATAATGCGGTGATGATGATTATTGGTGTTTTCAAGCCATATATTGCAGTTTCCTTATTTTGTTATCTTATCTAATTCTTGCAACTGTACACTGTCGTTGTTTAATAATAATAATGAAGCTTTATTTTAGACAATATGTGAACATATATTACAGACATTTTCAGCGAATTTAGTTGCAAAATATTCCCTCTTTATTCGGAATTTACATGTAAAGCAATAATCTGAAAGACCTCATTTCTTGATTTAAAGGCGGAATTCGATTCTGTCGACCGAGAGGTACTCTGGAGATGCTTGGCTATAAAGGGAATGCCGAGAAAATATATTACACTGATCAAGGCACTCACTTTACTCGTAATCATGCAGCAAGGTGAGGGCTTACGGCAAGTTGTCATCTGAACTGGTGACGACTAGTGGTGTTCGTCAAGGATGCCCATTATCCCCATTTCTATTCAATTTCATCATAGATGTACTAATGGAATTAACCCTAACTCATTTCAGAGACACAGGGATTGACTTGCTTCCAGGGAATAATCTCGTTTACTTGGAATATGCAGACGATATAGTCCTTCTAGGCGAAGACGCTGACAAAATGCAGAGTCTTCTGAACACCTTCAGCTGCAATCTACGAATGTTTGGCATGCGATTCGCTCCCGCCAAATGCAAGATGATGTTACAGGACTGGACTACACTGACTCCTAGATTAGAAATAGGAAGTGAAGTGGTGGAGCACGTTGACTTCTCTACTTATATGGCAACTAACATAAGCTCCAACGGGTTGATTACTGACGAAATCTCAGCACGAATACAGGGGGCTCGTTTCGCATTTGCCAGTTTACGCCGACTCTGGTGTAGACGAGATGTTCGACTATCGACCAAAGGGCGGGTGTACTGCTCATCAGTCCGCTCCGTCCTCCTTTATGGCCAGCTGTGAGACCTGGCCACTGAGAGTGGAAGACATGAAAAGACTGGCTAGCTGTCTTTGATCATAGGTGCCTGCGTTCTATCTCCCATGTGAAGTGGTATATTAAGGTGAGCAATATTGAAGTTAGGCGTCGAGTGCTAGGTAAGGAGGGAGAGGAGATCAATCGATGAGGCTGTGAAATTACATCGACTGAGATGGTTAGGACATGTGTTACGTTTGCCTAGTCACGGCCTTCCTCGACGGGCAATGTTAGCTGATATAGGATCAGGCTGGAAAAGAGCTAGAGGCGGTCAAACCATAACATGGCCTCACCAGTCAATGAAACCCACAACAGTTAGTTTAAGCCAGCCACGTAGGAAGGTGTAGACTTCTAGTCTGGTCGGGGTCCTCCGGACGGTAAAAACCGATGGCTGAAGGTAATTTGTGATATGGCTCAAAATCGTTCTCAATGGCTGGCGAAGATGCATCCACTCCTTGTGACGTATGATTTCCAATGAAACTATATTGTTCTTCGTTATTACTATTCCTTTGTCTCACACCTCTGTTTACTGTCTCTAGTATGCATTTCTTCTACTTTCTTCTGTTGCTTTGTGTGCTACAAGTATAGAGTGTGGCGACTGGAACTGGTGCTCATCGGTGCAAAGTTCTATGTTGAAAACAGACAGACATCATTTGTCGTAGCGTTGCTGCATATGAGGAGAGGACCAATTCTGTGCATTTTTTCTCCATTTGCTTGAAAAACTGCACAGCATATAGTGGGAAATTGTACGTCAGTGGCAGAGCGGTTAGGGTGCTCGCCGAGCATGCACACGGTCCGAGGTTCGATCCCCGACCGACGTACACCTAATATCATCGGTTGAACTGCTAAATTTGGTCTAACAATTTCACATGCTGAAAATTATATAGTTGTATCAAAATGCTGTGTGGACTAAAAGCTATAATTTAAAAAATCAGCTTTAAGTGAGCTATATCAGCAGGTTTCAAGCCTAGTGATTACATTTCTAGCTCCACCGATAAACTGCAGTCAGTATTACGAAATACATACATAACAATGGTTGCGTCGGTGGTTCAGCGTTAGAACATTCGCTAACCATGCCATATGTGGTCCGTAGTTTGATTCTCGGCTGGCGCACATCTCTTGAATTTGTAACCTCTAGACCCGATAGCAAAATATTTATTCAGATTAAATGTCAAATCAGTGCCTCTTTAGGGTTCAAAGATTTGGCGTACCATTGAAAGCACTTCAAACAAACTGCTGCAGACTCTTACCAACAGCTGTCTTCACTCCATATTAAGGATCACATGGTTAGCCAGAAAGGATTAGTAACGGAGGAACTCTATCAGGCAGCGGACGTACCACAAATCCGACGTCCAACAAATGTGAAGAGGGAAATAGAGGCACTCTGGATGTACACTAAGAACACTGGTGTATCGCATCAAACACCACGACCCTGAGCTAAACGTTAACAGGAAGTGAGGAGTTCAGAATGGGTCAGAGGGTTACATACAGGAGGTAGTGTGAAGACGAAAAGGAGAGCTTATGGAAGATTGTGAGACTAGACAAAACAGGTTTTAGAGAACAGGGCGAATTGGAGATATACTGTTGAAGCCAAATGTTGTTCCGCTCGGAACCCAAGAGAATAATAATAAAATATTAGAAATATGGTCGTTCAATGAAATTCCTTAGTGTCCTAATTTTTCATTAGGGTACAACTTTGTATTGCATGTCTTTTAAGGAAATCCAAATCTTCCATAACGATTCCCTATTTTCACAATACAGTGAGTAGGTGGCACAGCGGTTGGGACGCTCGCTGAACATGCACATGGTCCGGGGCTCTATCCCCTGCCGTCGCACACCTGATATCAATGATCGGCTTGCTAAATCTGGGATACCTATATCACATGCTGAAAATTCTATACTTGTACCAAAAAAACGGTATGGAATCAAGCTGTAATAAAATAAATAAATATGTGCGCAAGTTGACGTGGTTGTGCGATTAAAACAATAAGAAGTGCCTAAGAGTACAAGCATTTTGATGGGTGGAAATTCTGGTAACGCAGTGATTTAAACATTCCGCCGAATATGGTGTTTTACCTGGTACTCAACAACCTCTACAACACCAACAATGGGAGGGATTTAGTCTCTGTCTCAACAGAGCAGTTTAGTTATTGTTTTTGACAGTCCATAAACTGAGTTTATGCGTCTATAAGTTATTGACCAACCTAAATGTTACTTTTTCTAAATAATCATTTTTTACACCTTTGCATTCCAAATGACATTTTTTTCACGATGACATCGCTAGCCTCATGCTCAACTCCCTTTCTTTAACTGGTTTACCATTGGTTAACTGAGTCTTAAGCGTTTGTTGGGCATCGCTGGTGAGCCTTCTATCACTGAATTGCCGACACAAATCATCACATATTTATGCGTAGATTCAATGGGAAGTGAGAGTACTTATCCTTGAACAGATAAGTAGTATTTATTTAAGCGTTTCATTCATTCTGACAGTTAAATTGAGTTAGATTCTAAACATATAGTACTTTTCGGTCGACTTGATATATGGCTATTGGATTCAGTCTTCAGTAACAAGCAATGGCCATTTAATTCCTCATATAAATGAAATATTCCCATATTGAGTCATAAGAAAAAGGCACAAACAGCGAAGAAAATTTTCTTTTCGATGATTCATTTTCATGAGCTGTACAATCGTAATTATAATTAACACTGAAATTTTTCGATCAATCAGATACTGGTAAACTTTGTCCTTGAAAACTCTACTACATAATGTAAGGTGTAAGAAGGGATGACTAATTGTGTGAGATCTCACACTTATTAGGTCATGCCAACAGTATTTTTTATACAAGTATGGAATTTTCAGCATGTGATACCGGTAGCCCAAATTCTCCAGGCCGATCATAGATATCAGGTGTGCGTCGGCAGCGAGTCGAACCCCGGACCATGTGCATGGTCGGCGAGAGTCCTAACCGCTGTCCCATCGACTGTTCTTAGTCAATCCATTGTTAGAGTTCCATAGTGCTAATCTTTTCCAGTTACCTGACCTTCAGTGTGAAACAAAAATAGCCGTTAATAAATGTCTGAAGTCTGGCGAAGATGGTTTTTGGGAGACGAGCAGTAAGTTTTTGAACCATAAGGCGGCACTGAATGACTTGTTTTTTCTTGCATTGAGGATCCAAATTTTGTTTTTTATAGTGGGTACAGCGGATATTCATACTGATTTAAAAGCAATGAATGTCGTCTGTCTTACCTTTCATTTTCTAGCTTTGAAATCCTCATCCTTATCGCCTGTTTAGTTAAAGCGATATTGCCTAAATAAGTGAAAAAAGTGATTTCCTTCAGATTTCTCCCGATGATATTAACTGATGCTTGTTGCTGTTAGTTGTCGGGTATCTTCATCACCTCTGTCTTCTCTATGTAACGAAATGTTGCTGGTGTACATATATGTGCTTGCGGAATACAATCTCAGTCTCTTGATAAAAGGCAAGGTCAATAACACTATGTTAAAGAATGAAAGTTTAAAGATTACACAAATCCTTGGAAATTATTCACAAATGAAAATAAGTTAACTTATATCGGTTGAATTTAGACCCATGAAATGAGGTTTAACAAATAATAATGTAATCAGTTAAAGTTGAAGAGATACGCTACCAAGGTGGAGAAAGACGATAAATAAAAACTTCTTGTGAACCCTAGTTGTTTGATGGCAATAGTTTTTGTGAACTTCTGGGACTTGAACTTGCTGATTTGCACTAAGAGAAGAATGTAATACATCCAACTGATATCCTTTGCTGTTCAGATGTACTACAGAGAGGTGTACTGAGTTTTAATCGTAGACATTTCCGTTACTGTTCAGGAAATTTCAAGACGCATGCACTGCTTAATTACAGTTCTCTGATTTTAATATTTATTATAATAAACGTTCGAACTGAATTCATATCATATTTTATATGCAAATAATTTATTTCTTCCTCTTATAGAAGTACCGTTCTCGGCATATTCGATTCCAGTGTTCTTCGATTACTTTTTAGTGGTTCTGTTAAGCCATCTGATTTGGTAGTCTCAGGGATTAATAAAAACTTTCGACAAGTGAGTTTTTTATGCAACGTCTATTATAGATTTTTACATTTGAATAATACACTTGTATGGTGACTTATAATCGAAGTCGGTGCCATAGCGGTTAGGACGCTCGCTGACCATGCATATGGTCCTGGGTTTGATCCCAAACTCATGCACTCCATTACTTCGCTAAGCCAGAAATAATGCTGGTTAAGAGGAAAGGTTGGGGATGATGCTGGCAACCCCATCCTGTAAAAATAAACACCACAGCTACAGAAACTTCAAGCCATCAGCTTGAAACCCTATGTTCCACTGGGGAAGGTGAAGGCAAAAAAATAGTGACTTATAATACCTATTTATTTGCAAAGGGGGATGCATTATGAACATTTTGATGTGGTTGCATTCTCTGACCTGGATAATTTAACACCGGAAGCAGTAATTTTACTTCTAGACAACATCTTCAGTACAAGCTTGTTACAGTGTCAAATAGACTTCATAGCATCAACTTCAAAAGGGATTGAGAATCTAGCTTGATAGTTGATAAACTGAGTTTGTTTGTTTGTAGATCATTAACCAAATTGAATTTCATCGTTTCATATAGAAGCTCACGCTGAAAATGCTGACTAAAAAGTATAATCAAAGCTCCATAGTCAAATCACCCGGCTCAGAGAACACAATCACATCAAAATTATCCATATGAACTTAAAATCACCATTATTTCTAGTTCGTAAAAATAGAAGTTATGCAGGTAAATAAACGCAAAATAAAATAGGTGTATGTATAATTATTGCATAAATTTTATTTAATTGGTTGGAGGATTTTATCATAAACTGACATCGGTTAGAGAACCTTTGGAAAACTTACAGGGAGTACTGGACAGTCGTTTTGTCCCAGTTTGGGACTCTTCAGCAGTGCACACCCGCCGAGGTTAGAGCCCAGGACCTTCTGGTTACCAGGCGACCTCGTAGACCATTAAACCAGTGGGACCCGATCCAATGGCCAGGTCATGAACTCTAACTTCAGCCAGCTCATAACAGCAGGTTGAAGATGAGGCAGTAACTCATCGAAGAAGACATTGCGAAGTGGTCGCGCTACGTCGTGAACTGGCAGAAGTTAGAATTCATGGACTGGCCAGTGGATCGCATCCGCGTGAGTTAATGGTGTACGAGGTCGCCTTGTAACCAGAAAGTCCTGGGTTCGAACCTCGGTGGTTGCGCACTGATGAAGAGTTCCAAACTAGGATGGAGGAAAAAGCTGTCGAGTACTCCCAGGTTTTCCAATGGTTTTCTAACCGATATCAGCTTACGATGAAATCCTCCAACCAATCAGATAAAATCATCATAAACCGATACTTGAAAAATTTAGTTAATATTGTTTTCAAGAGAACATTTCTCTATTGTATGACCTGTTTATGCATATATATAAAGTCGAATAACCTTCACAGAGTTAATTTACATATTAGAATTTATGTTATGAACAAAATGATAAGTGAACCTGGAATTTAGATTACCGCAGTTTAGCATATGCAATATATATATACGTAGATTGTAGGATTTGCAGTGATTTTCAAGTATAATTTGTTCATAATACCGTCACATAAATTGAACAACACTAACACAGACCACAACAAGAAAACAGATTATTAATGATAAAATAAATTTATTTTATTATTTCATTAGATGTTGACGTCAGTTGCATACAATTTGAATAGTAATAATAATAATAATAAATTAACAATCTATCTGACATGAATATAGACACATACACTTTAACTGTTTAAGGCCGGTCAGTATATGAGAGTAGAGTGTGCAATGTGAAATAACAAAGACGATCTGTAAATTATACACAAAGTTAGAATCAACATTTTTCAGGATCAAAATAAAGATATTGTATATTTCTAAGAAATAAATATTATGTTTGTCATTGGAAAGTGAATCCAGGTATACCTGAAGATTATTTCCGCTTTGGACCATTATGTTTAATCGCTGTTTACGTGTCAGCATTTAGTACGGAAGTTTTGATGATGTCTGAAGAGTACCATAATATTATTTTATTTGATGGTGATTGACAATAGAATCCGATATAAGCGTTTGAACCCGTTAGTTTGATGTGTCTGTTCTCACTCCTGTGCAGACGCATTCAGGTGACGAAATACACATTCTGGATTCCACCGCTAGCTACTGTCATCCAAAATAACGAAAATGGAACATGGGGCTTCAAGCTAGAGGCTTGAAGTTTCAGTAGCAGTGGTGTAAATTTTTACAGGATTGGGTTGCCAGCCTCATGCCCAACCTATTCTCTTTACCAGTCTTACTAATGGCTTAGCGAGGTTAAGAAATGAGTCAGTCGGGGATCGAACCTCAGACAACATGCGTGGTCGGTAAGCATTCTACCGTTGTGCCATCGACGCACATTGAAGATAGTTACTTAATCATATTGAGAATCGTTTCAACAAAATCAAAGAAGTTAATAATAACAAAAGTTGCATACAGTTGATGGGAATTCTATCAAAAATGAGACGAACTTATCTTATCCTCTAAAAGCTGTTTTAACTGTATCACTCAAGTTTATCAGGGGGGAATAGTTCTATAAATGGACTGTAGTACTATTGCTTTGAAAAACGATTTAGGGAAGAAAACTTTATTTATCCAGTAATGCTGTCTTCAAACGCTACATAATCGTATTTCTGTTTGCTAAAAGTGTTTAACAATCTATCAGTAAGCAATAAGAGGGCCTGGTATAAATGTTGCAGTTACTCAGAAATCCTTTCTGAATGCAAAAAGAAATTACCTAATAATCTGCCAGTCACAAAATGGAAGTGAGGGTTTCAAATTTTTTAGAAGCCGAAAATTATTATTACATAAGACGAGAGGTGGTCGAGTGTCCACCATTGACAAGTGTAGAGAAGTTGGTGGTAAAACCCATACCAGTAAGATGTACAAATGGAACACATAAGAGTGATAATAGTGAATTACTTACTAAAAAATAGAAGCAAACAAGTAGAAAGCTGTTTAAGACCATAGAAGAATAAGAGACTGGAGAAAAAAAACCAGCTTTCTATACATATAGATCGGGATCGTATTCACGAATCACTAGAGCCTGCCCCACAAAGGCAATTGTTGTCCTGTTACACTTTATCATGGGGTGCCAATATAGTATTCATTTTACTAACTTCGATAGGAATATTAATAAAAATACGAATGTAATTGGTGGATGGTGACTAGCAGTGGAATCCAGGATGCGCATTTCGTCCTATTTCGGACTCGTCATCTGGATGAGCCTGCATTCCCCAGTGAGTGATGAGGTTCACATTGAGGCTCGAACTCAGTGCCCATAGTTTCAAACGCCAGAGCGTTATTCACTAGACCACTTGGGCCACGAGTTATATTTATTATTTAATTAAATTTTAGATTTTCTCGTCGAGTGATTAGACCGAAGTGCTCGGTCTCAGGTTGGCATGTTGGCTTCAGTCAAATAATTAATATGACCAGTTGAACAAGAGGTGGATCTCGTGCCCCAAGTGGTCTGGTGGATAACGCTCTGGCGTTTGAAACTACGGGCACTGAGTTCGAGCCTCAATGTGAACCTCATCACTCACTGGGGAATGCAAGCTCATCCAGCTGACGAGTCCGAAATCGGACGAAATGCGCATCCTGGATTCCACTGCTATTCACCACCTACCAATTAAATTCTACTTACATGCCCAGACATCGTCAAAGTATCTGCACAAGAAATCGACATGTCAACCTGAGACCGAGCACATCTGTCCAATCAATCAACGGGAAAATCTAAAATTCAGTTGAATAAAATATGAATGTGTTTCATATTTTTTATATTTCTGGCAAAATTAGTAATAATTCCGTGGATATAAATCTTACTGGATTTCATTTTATGCATGTATACAGGAGTATATTGCTTATGAAGGTAGACGTCAGTGGTTTGTATATATATGTGTATAAAAGAAGTTTTAAGGATCTTCATACTCCCTCTCCTCAGGATCTTGATCTCTATTGGTAACTTTACACCTACCTTGTTCTTACCTTTAAAATAAATATTTTTATTAAATTTCTCAGATGAAAAGAGTGAATCCTAAAGGCACTTCGATTACATATATAATTTAATAGAACTGAAGTATAGTTTATAAGGGGTGCCTAACCTGTCATATGCTCTGATGGTGTTCTCGTGACTTTCGTTCGAAGATCCGCCAAGGGTGATGGGATAGTACGCCACCTAATGGTTGTGTGCAAGGTTTGAAAAAGGCTGTGTACTATATGCATGCGCCTCGCCCTAATAATGTTCAGTGTGTCGGTGGCACAGCGGTTAGGACGCTCCCCAACCATGCATATTGTCCTGGGTTCGATCTCCAGCCGACACACTCCTTTGCCTCACTAAGCCAGTAATAAAACAAAAGCTGGTAAACAGGAAAGGTTGGACATGATGCTAGCAATTCCATCCTGTAAAAAAAAAACACTTCTACAGAAACTTCAAGCCTGTAGCTTGAAGTCCCTATCTTCCACTGGGAACGTGAAGGAATAGAAAAAATAGTTTATAATGTCTGACTGTGTATTACTAGCAGCAATAAATAATTTATTTCCTTTAATGCATAAGGTTGTTAATGAAATCTGATGTTAATATAGACTTCCTGGAATTGTAATGAGAAGTTACGAGTGCCACTACGGTCCATCAGACTAGTTGTGAGAACAAATGCTTGCCTATGGCACTGAAAAGCACTGGCGCTATATGGCTAATTGACAGAAGTTAGAATATTCAATCTGTTGGATTCCAATGTAGGGATTTGATGGAAATTTACTTGCTTCTCATAACCTTAGAATCTTACGTTCGATCCCTGGTGGCGTTACGGTCTTGTAACCTTGAAGAGTGACAAATTAGGATGGGGATAACTGTTCAGTGCCTCCTAGCTTTCAGTAGTTCTTTAGTGGATGTAAATTCCAGAGAAAAATCTATCTCAGTATTGATTTGTGGATTTGTATGAAGATTGATAGATTTCTAGATTTCATGGTATCACAAGCCAATATCACCAACAGAACTATTGAAAACCAAGGTGTATTGAGCCATTACATCGTGTTTGATGGTCGAGAGCAACCTAAATTAATTTAAAGTATACTATGACAGTGAGTTTCGTAACCTGGTAGTGTCATATTACAATTCTGTTCAATAGAATTCGGTCAGAAATAATTAACTTAATAAAATACCATTGGTTACATCTTACTTAGTAATAAATGTATAACTCCATCGTCCTAGTTTACGGATTGTTCAGCAATATGCATATATATATATATATATATATGATCCCATGATTCGTAAACACACACTTTAGATGGATTTTCCTCAATTTCAAAAATGAAATTCATGGTCATTGTTATTTCGAAAATTCTGATCTGAAGATATTTATTCATCGATAATATCGACTATTGTTGGTTCAAATAACAATTGGATTCTTTTTTGATTTTAATTGGTTTTGTAACTGATTTTAGCTTATGGTGACATCCTGAATTTAAATCTATGCGTCGGTGGCACAGTGGTTGGGACTCTCGCCGACCATGCACATGGTCCGAGGTTCTATCCCCTGCTGACGCACACCTGATATCAATGGTCGGCCTGCAAAATTCGGGCTACCGATATCCATGCTGGAAATACCATACTTGTACCAAAAATACAGTATGGAATCAAGCTGTAATCAAAAATAAAAAATAAAAAAAAATATTCTCTGAATATCATTTTATTTAATTTTATTCGAATTTTTTTCAATATAGGTTGAAGAGAAACATGGACTTGATCGTATTTCTCGTGAGTTGACAGTAGAACCATATGTTGTTGTATGGAAGTTAGACGGTAAGTTGTCTAATGAAACTTAATAACTGTTTTTTTTTCATATTTGTGCGTAACACTGACGTGAACAGATATTATCTGAGAGTTGATGAATAGTAGATACTACATGGTTGGTCAACTTCAAGAAGCATTGGAACCTTTAAGAAATGAAGGATGTTGACGATTACGCAAAATACCACCGTATGACAAAACAAGTATATATGCACCACCAAACCTCAGTGTACTTGTCCTATAAGGCCACAGAACTATTAGAATGACTAATTAGAATAACAGTTTGATCGTCAAAAATATGAAATATATTTCAGGACTGGAAATGTGAGGCAGTGATATCCACTTAGCGAATTAGAATGCTTGAACGAACAAACAATCGTAACACTAAAGCATAGGAAAATTATTATTATTTACTTTAATTCCTAGAGGAACATAGGGTTTCACCCTCACGTTTCCATTGCGTTCGGTACTCCACCAACGTTTTCATCTGGCTCCACATCTGACAATATGCTTTTATCTCCTTTTTACAAGACCTTCTCCATGTCACCCTCGCACTGACGACCAACTCGCTGCTTCCCATTCGGGTTCCATTCGAGCAATGGCCTGGAGTGTGATGTCACTCACTTGATGATTTTCTCGGAGTATGGCTAATCTACCTCCATTTCTTCCTGCATATTTTTTGCACAGTCGGTTCCTGGTTGGTTGGTTCACTTCCAGAGATCCCTAACTATTGCTGATCTTTTCTGCTCGGCCATCTCATCTGGAGTAGTATTGAGCGAAGACAGCTGTTGTTGAAGGTTTGAAGTGCCCTTCATGACTCGGCGCCAAGTCTCTAATCCGTACAGAGTAGCACTGATTTCACACTGGATTTGAAAATGTGGATCTTATTTTTCATGCTGAGTGCTGTTGACCTCCACACAGACTTAAGAGTAATGAAAGCTTGTCTTGCTTTTCCGATCCTTGCTTTGATATCCTCGTTAGTTCCGCCTAGGTAGGTAGGTAAAGGAGGTTGTTTCTTTTAGGTTCCTCCCATTTATGCTGATTGTTGTCTGTTGTTGCTGTTTTCCAGGAATCTGGGCATGTGAAAATGGTATATGTGTAATTAATCATGTGCTTCCATCTCACCTAGTCTACTCAGACAGCGGAAGTCAACACCCACTTTTGAATGAAGAAAGCTGTAGTCTCATTTGCCGTTATTTGATTTCCGTCCCAAGTGGAACATAGGTCTTCAAGTATTGAATTGAATTTTTGATTTTCCCGTCGATTGATTGGACCGAAGTGCTCGGTCTCAGGTTGACATGTCGGCTTCTTGTGCAGATGCTTCGACGATGTCTGGGTATTTAGTTAGTATACAATTGGTGGATGGTGGCTAGCAGTGGAATCCAGGATGCGCATTTCGTCCTATTTGGGACTTGTCAGCTGGATGTACCTGCATTTCTCAGTGAGTGATGATGTTCCCACCGAGGCTCGAACGCTTTGGCGTTTGAAGCTATGGGCACTGGGTTCGAGCCTCGGTGGGAACATCATCACTCACTGAGAAATGCAGGTACATCCAGCTGACGAGTCCGAAATCGGACAAAATGCGCATCCTGGATTCCACTGCTAGCCACCATCCACCAATTTTATATAGGTCTTCAAGGTTTGAAATCTCGATGACAGTTGTGCTGTTTTAACGGAGTGCAGTTTCTAGACTCACATCCAGTCTATCCTCATTTCCCAACTGACTATCGACTAGCTAACGAAGTGAGGTTTAGAAGTGTATTGGCTGAAAATTTAACGCCAGCCTCCCGATTAGTTGGTGAACGTTGTACCCCTGAACCACTGTTTTTTTTTCCTTCACGTTCTCACTGAAACATAGGCCTTCAAGCTAGTGGCTTGAAGTTTGTGTAGCAGTGTTTATTTTTACAGGATGGGGTTGCCAGCATCATGCCCAACCTTTTCTCTTTACCAGCATTATTTCTGGCTTAGAGAGGTAAAGGAGTGTGTCGGCCGGGGATCGAACCCAGGACCATGTGCATGGTTGGCAAGCGTCCTAACCGTTGTGCCACCGACGCACTGAGACACTGTAGGCTAATATTTTTCGGGACTGGCTGGCTGTTTACTAAACATTTGCAACAAATGGGTTGCTGAATTACCGAATCCACTTGTTAGTGACTAGGCATTAAGGCCTGATATTTTCAAACAAATCCTCTCATTTTGTCCCTTTGATCTCGTCTTCCATACTGATAATGCTTTGTAGGGTAAGGAGTATTATGACATTCAGTATATTAAATGGTGCTATGTGGCTTTTCATGAGATCAATACTTACTTTGAGTCAAACCTATTAGAATATTAGCGAATAAAAGTCATTACTAGTGAGATAAATAGCATGTTTTTTTCCTGATGTAACGCGTGATAATGTAGAGTGAAATGAGGTTTCAGGTCTCGGTTGAATTGGAAAAAGTGACCTACAACTTGTTAGTTCAATACTATATCAGCTGAGCTATGAGACCTCATTATTCATTAGGTTAATATGGATAATGTCCGTTTACTATAACACTATCTATCCAGTAAGATCTCTTCATGTTTATCCTAATCCTATTGAATTAGACGAACAGAGGCATATTATTCATAGAAGGCTTCATTTTAATACTACTACTACTATTATTACTCATTAGTATCTCACATTTTTATATCTCTGCAATTTAGTATACTTATAAAAGAAGTTTCATGGAGTATATCATATACCGAATTTTTTCAAACTGTTAAAAATGAACTTGGTTTGGTTGAACACGTATAACTCAGTGTACTTCTTATTACCTTTTGGCTTTTTCAACAGATCCTTATCTGGTGTGTCGCGAAGACTTTCTTCATTGGTCATTATCTCAACAATAGTAGTGGAGCAGACTGTCTTTTTTTCTTTTAAAAATGAAGTAATAAATGGGGTTCATTTTTAAATTGAATAGTTTCTTTTCATTCTACATCTTTGATAATAGCTGTAGAACAGTACGGGATTGATTGATTAGAAGCGGGTTAAGTGTGCTGATTATTATTATTGTTTCCTTTAGTTCCTAGAGGAACATAGGGCTTCAGCCGCATGTCTCCGTTGCTTTCGGTTCTCTGACATCGTTTTCAACTGGCTCCATGTCTGCCAACATGCTTTCATCTCCTCTTCACATGAGCTCCTCCATGTAATTTTCGCAGTGACAACCAACTCATAGCTTCTAATTTGGGTACGACTCGAGGGATGGCCTGTCGTGTAATGTCACTTGATGGTTCTCTCAGAGTGTGACCAATCCACCTAACTCCATATCTTCCTGCATATTTGTTGCACAAGTGGTTCCTGGTTGTTTCGCTCCCAGAGATCCCTGTTGCTGATCTCTTCTGGCCGGCCATCTGATCTTTATCAAAGTATTGAGCGAAGACACCTGTTGATGAAGGTGTGTAGTTTATTCGAAGTGCCCAAGTCTCTGATCCGTATAGTAGCACTGTGCTTAATGACGTTGAAACCCCTGTGGAGGTGACCAAATGTATCTAGATCAGCAGACATACACTACGACATAACGAATTTAGAAAATAGCTCAGTTAAAAGATTTTATGGAACCACACACAATGAAATTATCGAAATTTGTTTTCTAAGTGGTACTTTAAATAACATGGTTCATTGATCTAAGCAATGGGTCCTGGGTTCGGTGCTGCTTTTACCTACCGTAGCCTGGTCAAATGGACAGTCACCCTGTCAGCTCTTATATAACAATAAGTGCGGCTTATAGCATGATGGTATATGGAAAACGTATTCCGGATAAATAAGTTGCGGCTGACTTAAAATACAACGCAACTTAAAAAATGAATAATTTCTGGACACTGTGGTAGACTATAATAAAAATAATTTTGTGTAACTGTATATTTGATAAGTTTGTTTGAGATAAGGTACACCGAGTGATACATTATTAATAAGTAGATAACATTTCGAGAACACTTTATTGCTTATAATCTTATCAGCTTGCTTTATACAGCTTTACTACCCTTTTTTTTAATGTAATGTATCCGGGATAGGCATTGAGTTATTCCTTTTGTATGTATTCGGTGCTGACTGGATGGACAAAGATTCGGAAATTCATCTCCCTCGCTCATTCTCTGTCTCAGCAACTTTAATGGCCTTCAAATTATTTAGGAGATAACGACTACTTGCCCTTCCAACCGCTCGTGTGTATGCTTTACTACACACTGTACAGGCATCAACATATTGCTACACTGAAAAATTAAATCCGAGTACTAACTTGATCTCCACACATCGGGAAGATGATGCTGGTGACTTTTGGTATATTTCACTGCTGAGAGGCATTGAATAAGTGACCGTTTCGCTAAGATTTTAAAAGTTTGAGCTGACCGGTAGGTCAAACATCCAACCAAATAGTTACTATCATGATTTATTGACAAAGGGTTTCTAATCAAACTACAAATAGGGTCATATTTAAACCAAACAAATCCCTCAGAGATGGACATTGTTGGATTAAAGATACATTAGCTGAATTATACAAAATGGTGTAATATATCAAGTAGCATGTAGTGACGGTTAGGTCACTTATATAGGTCAAACTAGTAGACCAGTGTTAATTAAGCTGTTAGGACATAGAAATCTAGCTAGATCTAGAATGATTGACCTCGCTTAGTTAAGTAATCTCGAAAAAAGCTTGACCATTTTCATGCCTACGCTTGCATCCAACCATACAATAGGATTATCTAAGGTCAAAATTAGGAGGAGTAATTAATCCATGTTCATCTGCCGGACACCAGATACATACAACAGAAGTGGCACAACATCTATTTCGAATAATAACACCAAAGAGTAGAACCATGTGAAGTAAGTTAAGAAGTTGTGTGAGTAGGTTGATATGATAATGATCAGTTAAGAGTATTCGAAACTAAGTTTACCAAGGAAGGTTTAGTGTGATGACGAATTGTTGCTTTGAACGCATAAAGGTGGTTTAAACTTTCTAATTGCCAGCTAGGACTTCCACAAACTTTAGGATACGTCCCAAACACTTTTTATAGATAGGTTTAAAAGATCTGTTAACGTCAATTTTATGTCATGTCTCTATAATATGTTTCGCAATAGAGGAGCTAGGTGTCCTGTTCTCACCATTAATGGGTTCTGAAGATTCAATTTGTTTCAGGAGCCATTTAGGAATATGCTCTGAAGCCAACCATTGTTTGCAGAGATCGATGAGTCCTCACTATGTATGTGTGTCCACACGTACATTCAAACTGGTGAATACAGTGGCATATGACATCATTTTTCGCATGTTCAAATGGCTTAGATAGATATATTGGCTTCACATTCTCAATTATTATGACGTTAACAGCAGCGTTCAGTCTTTGTCTAGTTATCAAGCTGCTATGATGCCCCATATAAGGTAGCTTGATGTACACGTCTTTTTTAGGGGCGAGTTGTAGAGTTCCGACTACTTTATACCTCCTGATGAACTTGTCTGGATAACTGTTATCAACTAGAGTTTGCGTCAACTTTCTTCTTCATCAAGTGTGTCTTCAGTGCATATTGGTAGGATTCTACTGAAGAGTCACCTTACTAAGGCTCTTTTGTACCGAACAGTGCAGAAACTGTAGTAATTAAGATACTGTTCTGCAAGTAAGGGCTTCAAAACATATTCCTAAATGGCTCCTGAAACAAATTGAATCTTCAGAACCCATTAATGGTGAGAACAGGACACCTAGCTCCTCTATTGCGAAACATATTATAGAGACATGACATAAAATTGACGTTAACAGATCTTTTAAACCTATCTATAAAAAGTGTTTGGGGCGTATCCTAAAGTTTGTAGAAGCCCTAGCAATTAGAAAGTTCAAGCCACCTTTATGCGTTCAAAAACAATTTGTCATCACATTAAACCTTCCTTGGTAAATTTTGTTTTGATACCATAGCAGATGTACTATTACCTCTGCTATTTGGTTTAGTGGTCTTCATTTTTATTTTTTGACCTTGAATATGTCCTTTCAACTTGACCCAAATATTCGAAACGTCATCCAGTCATCAATATTGTATTACTGTCATGTCAAGTAAATTTATCAGAAATGAAACTAAAAAGCATGAAACTTTCACTCTCTTCTCAATGAAACCGCAGAAACAGTAAATGAGATGGAAGACAAAACTATAAAATGTTGATAGATCGAGATTAGAAGTTGTCTATGACTCACATCAACCAGTAGAGGTTGTTAGTCAAATCGGAGTGATTCAAACATCAAGCGATCGTTCACGGTCGAGCTCATCACTGATATATCCGGTTTGACTCAGTTCAGAAAGGCTAATCTATTCAAATCATCCGACTTCATGTTAGCTACTCAGACGAACTAGTGATACCGTAAATGAAACTTGTAATATACGCAGTTTGAGGGGTGGGATTTTCTCCACAGTTTCCTTTGGAAATCATATTATTCAGTATGCGATCAGATTGATACTATGAATGTCAATTAACAAATCAAGCTCCTTGATCTGAGTCAGACCTGGTACACCGTTGATGATATAGTCCTTAAACGAGGGAAACGACCATCTGGTGTTTAGATCATCTTGGTTTGAGTAGTAAGCACTACTGGTTGATCTAGGTGGTATCGAACTACTCATCTCAATCAATCAGTAGTATGTGGCATAAAGCATTTATGATTGCCTTCCTGATTACCATTTTCGGTATCAAGCAGATCATATACTGTGATCCGAATAAAATGGTTTCCAAAGGAAAGTATGGCGAGAATTCTCCCCCTCGAACTGTGTGCGTTGTAAATCTCTAACCAATTTGCAAATTATGAATTTAGCTTATAGACTTCAACCTATGAGAGTAGTACTACTATATTACCTGAGCCATGAAACCTCGCTGCAATCAATAGTTTACCGAGTGAATGGACGATATCTGATAGTCCGTCTACTCTATAGCCGTAGCTGTCCAGCTAGACGTGAATTTCATCACAGTTTAATCTGGAAGCGAAAATTATTAAGATCTCAGAAACAGTCGTCGAGAAAAGTAAACATAAATTCATGATGATACATACTACTGAATAATTGAGATGAGTAGTTGTATGTCATTCATTTCAGCCAACATTGCTTACTAGCCAGATCGAATGACACGGCTGATGTGGTAGGCTCCAAAGGAAAGAAACTACTCTATAGTGCTTAGATCACTCCAATCTGGCCAGGAAGTACCAGTGGTTGATGTGAGTTCTTTTATTCCTTCACGTTATCACTGGAACATAAGGCTTCATGCTAGAGCTTTGAAGTTTCAGTAGCAGTGGTATTTCTTTTTACGGGATGGAATTGTTAGCCTCATGCTCAGCCTTCCCTCTTTACCAGTCTTATTAATGACTTAGAGAGGTAAAGGAGTGCGTCAGCCGAGATCAAACCCCGAACCATATAAGGCGTGATCGGCAAGCATTCTACCGTTGTGCCACCAAAACACTTTACGAGAGTGGTTGATGTGAGTGATACACAACTAATCATCTCAGTCAATTACTTGTACATAACACAGTCATGTGACTCACTCAGTGTTCTTCTGCGTTTCCAAATCGTTGAAGAAATGATCAATATGTATGTAATTGTCTATGTTTGGCTTTGATAAATAAGTTGTAAATTGAAATGTGTTTGTATATGTCCAAACCAAGTTCACTTTTAACGGTTTGAAAAAATTTGGGCATTGGGTAATAATAGAGGTTTTTGTATTTCCCAATGAATGAAAAAACAAAACGAGATTGTTTTTACTGACGTTTCGCTATTTAATGCTAATAGCTTTCTCAAAGTATTATTAAACCGGAATTTACAAAATCTCAGCATGAAATGTGTTTGCTGTTGAATACCACTCATTGTTGCATAGGTGATGATAAAATGAATTCTGAATTTGGATTAAAACTAGATCAAGTTTTGTTTCCTTCACTTATTCTTATTCATGCAGTTTCAATTCCATTTTGGATAAACTTATTCCGCTATAACAGGGTTCCTTACAAGTTTCTGAAAACTTTCACTGCTATCAAAATCGATTTTGTGATTTGTTAATATGATGTGTAAAGTTGTAATTGGAAACTTTTCTGGTTTTTCCTAATCTACTGAATTGATTGAAGGTCATTTGCTTGTTCTACGCGATATACATTAGCTTTGGACCTGACTTCATGAAAATTTTATCCTATGGAAACATAATATCTCACTCTGAGTACTTTATTCAAAAAATCGAAGGTAGAAAATGCGTCTGAAATATTGATTTGTAGGTCAGGTCAAATTTTTAGCTTTTGCTGTGCTCTCTGACCCAGGTAGTTTTCACTGTAGAGCTTCGACTGCCCTTTTAAACAATATCTTCACAACACGCTGTTCATAAGGACCACGAAAGCTTCAGAGTTAAACCACCAAGACCACAGAATACAACCATTTCAGACGACAAGTATCATGAAACATTGGTATTCAAATGCACCTGGTCATCTTATAAAGTATTTTATAGTCCCAAAGCAACTCTTATGCAGTGTATTTTAAGAATCCTTCTCATATCATCCGAGGCTTGTGATCTATATCGGTTGAGAACTATTCATTCAGCGGTATTTATTACTATTCTCTACATTGCGAAATCCACTGGATGGAAATTTATTAAACTTGAGTGTTTTGGTTGCACTCCTCTACTCCGTTCCTTTCGAATCAGTATTTCTCTTAAGGGACTCGAAAAGATTATGTAACCCTTTATTACACATATCAGTGGGTCTAAATATTTTTGGAACAGTGTTATTTAGGCAGTAGGAACTGGATATGAAGAAGCGGTATTCCTCCTACACTACTTTTCCCATAAATTTCTTATATAACTTGAACGTTTGCTCTCCTTAGGAGGGCAGAAGTGAATATTCTAGGTGAGGTAATCATCGACAGCCACTTGTGAAAATCAACATAACTTGGTCTATTCAAATGATAGTAAATTCCTTATTGAATGATAATCCAAGAACCAAACTTATAGCACATAAAAAAAGATAGGAATACAATACAGATGTGTTTATAAACCTACCTCCAGGCTTTTGTGGTCAGTTTACACTACCACTCTAATCAATTTATATAAAAATCTCAGATATGCAGGGTAGTCATGTTTACAGACATGAAGTATACAATAGGTTACTGCAAGCTGTATTATTGTGTCTTAATGCTATTGCGTTAATCACTAATAAAACTGTCTAAGACTATATGTGAAAATGTTGGGAGTGGTTGAACATTTCACGACACCAGCCATGCTATACGAAAACCATTGTGATTAGTTTCTGTTGTAGCCTTCGAGAAGGCAAACTAACAAAGAAAAGGGGTACGGTTTTTAATTGCTTAAAACAATGTCACCAACTTCAAATTCAGATCTTGTTATTCAGTTTTACCTATCTGGCTAAAGTATTGAATCTATACAATCCGGGAGATTCTCTGGCTAGCTTCCAAGGAGTTGTTGGCTCAGGAGTAGTGTTGAGTCGTGTAGCGGAAACTGACTGCTGGATTGAATCCTGAGAGACAGTGACCTGTATGCTATCCCATTGAAGGAGTTTCGCTCACTAACCTGTTGATTCCAGTTTGGACGGAATAAAAGATGAGTATTCTCAACTGTGAGTGGTCCGGGTTCGAATACTGACTGAGCCCCCATATGCGTCGTTGGCGCAGCGATAGAATTCTCGCCAACCACGTATGTGCTTCGGGGTTCGATCATCGGCCGACGCACTACTAGACCTCGCTAGTCCAGTAGTAAGACTAGTAAAGAGGGAAGGTTGGGCATGAGGCTAGCAACTCCATCCCGTAAAAATAAGCACCACTGCTACCGAAACTTACAAGCTCTAGCTTGAACCCCTGTGTTATACTAGGAACGTAAAAGAACAAAAAATATCTCAACAGTCTAGTTTCGTGATATAAGCGAAGCGGTCTGATATCAACTCACTTTCCGACCACCGACATCGATTCAGTAATGGATACAAATAGAATACATAGCTTTAAGTTATCATAAGGAAATCGCTGCGACTCTTAGAATACACGTGTATGTCTGCGGCTGAATGAACGCAGAAAACAAGCAGCTGAGGTATATCGGCTTACCCTTCTCTTAGAGAGAGAACAAGGTCTATATTTCCAGAGGTAAATAAACACATATTTGATTTTGCCAATGATATTCATTATGAGGAAGCTTGGCATCATAGCTACTATTTCGCAAAAAAAGATGGTGAATGTTGTTAGTGACCTGCAGTCAAATATTAGTAAACGCCAATGGATTTCTGCAGTTTCAACTGAACAGAAGAGGAGAGCAAGGAGACTGATCCCGGAGGGCTTGCTCAAAAATGACAAGCAAATATTGCTCAACCTAACGTAAGCTGACTGAAAATTTTCACATAGACTACAAAAAGTCGCAGGCAGTCCATATTTGAATAATAGTTAAACTACTACGTTCTTTCTAAAAACAATTTCGTTGGCAAAGTTTGGCAGAATTACAGTTGAAATGTTTTTGTATTCTAGTAGCTACCTTAATCTTTAAATAAAAATACTAGGATTTATTTATTTCGGTAGCATACTGAATGCACAACTATCTGACTAAATGTACTGCATAACGTTTTCTAGCTATAGGGAGATATGTGTGTGCAAAAGAACTACATTCATCTCCTTTGTTTAGTTTGGCCTCATATTTTCCCTACTTCTTTTCACCTAGTTTACTTCACAAAATGACTATTTGTCATTCTTTGGATTTACACCTATCTTCATCAACTGATTACAGTTCATACATCTAAATTGCATTTCAAAAGTCGGTTTGAAGGAAGAATGCTCTTTTCAATAAATTCGCCTCAGATTTTTACAGATAAAAAGTACATATCATAAAAATAATAGCCAGTTATGTGATGGATACATTTCTATATAGACTGACAAGGGATTGATATCAGTTAGAGGATCGTTGTAAATCAGGGAGTACTGGACAGTTGTTTCGTCCAAGTCTGTGACTCATCGTCAGTACGCAACCACTGCTGATGACTAGCTACAGGACAGAATTGTTTGGAGTTCTAATGAGGAGTCGTGACCAATGGAGTCCTACCGGGAGTGAGCGAAAATGCTCACCGATGACATTGTCTGGTAGTTGCGCTAAAATCACGCATTGGTACAAGTTAGAATTCATGGGTCATTGATCCCAGTTCCAGTGCCTTGTAACCGAAAGGTCCTGGGGTTCGACGCTGGATGGGTGCACACTCCCAGGTTTTCCAGTGGTTCTTTAACTGATATAACCTGAGACAAATCAAATCCCTAGAAACTAACTCTTGAAAATAATAGTTATTTATCATCCTTTGAAATAACATTCAGAATACTCTATTTGTTTATGTTTTTGTGGCATTCATATTCACCTCATACCAGTGAATACAGCCCACAGCCAGAAACTTATATTTTAATTGATTATAAATACTCAAACGGGTTACTTAATTGTTTATTCACATTTCATTATATTGTTCTTAATGATTGTAAGAACATTTAAATGATGATCAAAGCTAACTAAACTTTATTCCATTTTGTACTTGTGCTCCAATACAGTTTCTGAAATACATATACTAACATCCCTGGCTTTATTAACTGTAAAGACTGAAGAAGTGTTATTGAAATCACAATTATTCACTCAAATTACTCTTCTTCTTAATATATACACCATGGAGATATTCAAGTTACTAAGACGGAATCGAAGTCTACGTACAAAAGAACACTTTAACGAGAATACGTACATTCTGAAGTAAGGATATTTACACCTATTAGATGGTTGGAGGTAATCGGCCACTGGAAGCCTTGAACCTAGGCGTCGTGCTATAGTTGGCACCCAGTGGTAACGTCTCTGACTGCAGTCCTCATTGGGTGACGCGGGTTCGAATCCCAGACAAGACATGAGTTCCTTCAAAGTTGCAGATACGCCTTGCTGACTGGTGAGTGCCAGCTAGTACGAAACCTAGGTCCAAGGCTTCCAGTGGCCGATTGCCTCCAACCATCTAATATTATCAAATCAACGGGCACCGTGGTGGAAAGCTACCTAGAATGGTGGCCATATTGCAAACCTGACTGGTGGGATTCAGTTTGCACCAATGAGAGGACTAGACACATCACACTAGTTACTGTCAGTCAAAATAGTTACACCTAATTTATAATTTTAAACTCATTTCTTTTAATATAAAATAGAATAGAACCCTTCCTTTTGGATAGAAACTGTCCGGATTAATCTGAAAACAGGTGAAAAAGGCTTCATCTTATCAATATATGTTGTTATATATATATATATATATATATATATATATAATCAAAATATAGATATCTAAAAGTATATTTACATGTATTTACAGATGTGAGTTTTAACATACAGTTTAAAAAAACACAATTTATCTTTGGAAAGGCCAACTGAATGAGAAAGATGATTTTCCAACAACACTACAAACACTACAAGTAGAATTAATTAGCTGTACAATCAATATGGTCAGTTAACAAGGCTATAATACTATTTTGACTTGCTGTTTCCCAACAACTGTCATCACTTTCATTATTCTTCTTTTGTACACTGTTGTCTAACACTTTTATTGACTTAAGAGAACTATGTTTATGCCGACTTTTAAAAGCAACTGATTTACCAGCTTGATGACGTTCCATATGTTCATTTAACTTTTGCTATAACAGGTGGAAAAAAAGATAGAAAAATAGGGGAAAAATAGATAAGTTGACGATACAATTTCATTAGAATAAGGGATCATCTCAAACTATAGAGTGTGCGTCGGCGGTTCAGTGGAGGAAGGCTCACCAACTATGTCTCATGTGGTTCTGGGTTCGATCCTCCGCTGATTATTATTATTGCTCCCTTGGGTTCCTAGTAGAACATAGGGCTTCAACTTCACGTCTCCATTTGCTTCTGTCTTCTGCTGTAGTTTTCACCTGCATCCATGTTAGTCCATACTCTTTCAACTCCTCTTCACACCATCTCCTCTATGTTACCCTTGAGCGTCTCATTCGCAGCTTCCCTTTCGGGTTCCACTCGAGGGCTTGACGCGCGATGTCACCCAGCGGCCTCTTCAGCAAGTGTCCGATCCATCTCCACTTTCTCCTGCATATTTGTTGGTTGGCGATTGGTTCTTGCTTTGTTTGTTCCCATAGTTCTTTCTTGGTGATTCTTTCCGGCTATCTGATCTTCAGTATAGAGCTGATGCACTCCTGAAACTCGCCAAGTCAGTAGTAGGCCGGGTAAGGAGGGAAGGTTGGGCTTTAGACTAGAAACCCCATGCCGCAAAAATAAACACCACTGCCTCCAAAACTTCAAAGCCCTAGCTTAAAGCCCCCTATGTTCCACTCGGAACGTAAGAGGATAAAAATTAAAATCAATAATTTAAAAAAAATGCAAACTACAAAATAATCACAGGAGGTTTCATCATTGACAATATTAGTTAGTTTGAGGTGCACTACTGTTTACCTCTGAGAAGGTTTACATAAAGGTCGTGAAAAATGATACTATTAATTTTCTCAGAACTAATAAACAGTTTGTAAATAAAAACGTAAAATTCTAGTTTGAAATGCTCCGAAACATAAGAATAGGCCAGACAGCTGCTTACTGATAAACTGCTGATTGAACTCATTCGGATCACTAAACTGATCCAGTATGGGTATACCGCTTATACACTTGCTGCCATGCATGCGAAACAGTCGTCTAGTCTTTAGATCAGTTCGATCTGCCTAGCAAACAAACGGTTTGACGTGAGTGGTTTCTCACTACTCATATAAATCAATCAGTAGTATACACAAATATCCGAATAATTCACATTTAAAAAGTGAAGCATATTTCGAAAAGGAATCAGTTTGCTTCTGAAGATATAAGAAAAAACGTATCGTTGTCAACAGATTTAAAAGGAAACTTAGTCCAAACCCCTCTAGTTGAGATGTGCAAAGGATCAGTTTACATTCCATTGTTTTATCCGGACAGTCATTCACATGAAGGTTTAACACCAACCAACAAAAAAGCTTGGAACTGACGGTAACGAATATCGCTCGATCTCATTTAATCGCATCACACTGAAGAATAAGTATTCAGTAATTTAAAGAAAGTCGTCTTTTTCACTCACCATCTGGGCAGCATTATTTATACCAGAGGCGGAAAGGATCACGATGTAAAAGCCACGTACAGGGAGGCAAGACAGACGACTATTACTGTGAAAATCCACACCACATAACACAGAGAAAAGACGCCTGTTTTTCGACACTAATGTTAAGTCAGTGCTTGGTCCGTGCGTTAGCAATATGCAGTTGCATACTTTAATCGAGAACTGCCTTTAACGGCTCAATACTGAATATCAGATGACCAGTCATAACGGATAAGCAAACAAAATCTCTGACAAAGACCCAGTCAAGCTGCCATCGCCCAGAAAATACGCAGAAGGAAATGATAGTAGATTGGACGTACGCTTAGGAGACCCTAAAGTCGCGCGCTAGTGGAGCCAAAATGGGAAGCGACGGATTAAGGAGTGCGTCAGGTGTCTGTGTGTGTGTGGGGGGGGAGGGAGATGGAGAAGTTGTGAAAAGGGAATGGAAACTTATAAACAATCAGAGTGAAATAGTGACGTTACTGAAGCCCTATGTGCCACCCGGAGCCCAAAGAAATGACAAACAATAAACATTGTAGCCATTATAACACTATTCACCTGAGAGAAATAGTACAAATAATAAGCAACTAGACTAGATCTGTGTCACATAGCAAAGGCGCATAGATTTTCTCCAGGCTGATCATCCACATACAAACAAAGAAAACAGATGAAACTGCTGTAATGTGATATAACGTATCATAACTTCAGTAGTCTGCCAGGACAAGCGACACAATGTGACCACCTGAAACTAAGTAGATGACGTAGCATTCGGAGCTGGTGACCCACTGGTTGGTTACCAAAGCCAAAGGTAATTCAACCTATCAGCAAAAGGAATGTTGGACTACAGCTCCGTTTACTGGTGATATATATGATAGTTAAAAAAATACACCTACTTTAGTTGACAGTATCACAGGACATCCACGCCAAGTACATTGAAACTTGAAGTCAGCGTGTGCTGAACGCATATGAGCATCTAAATTCCTTTTAGCGGTAAATGCAACAATATTATCTGTTTGTGAATCGCCTATATCACCAGGCGAACATAAAGAACAGATAAATTGTCGTCTTACTGCAGGTCCACCAGGAGTATGAGAAGCTTCATGAGCTGAAAGTGCACTAGGTCTTGTAAAACGCATACCGCATGTAGGACATTGTAAAGCTATGCAAATTGATGCGAAACAAGAAGAAAAAAATAGTATGTCAGTTATAGTAACAGTGACGCCACTATTTATAAAAGAATTTACGGGAATACGGAAAATAAACTGTTATTGAAATTAGCCTGGACCAATACATCTTTAATTCATTCATCCTACGACACATAACAGATATCACAAAATTATGAGCAGAAATTCATAGTTGAGGATCATATCTCTTGTTCTCAAATGACGTTTTGTCAGGAAATTACGTTAATTAGCAGTGTTATTCAACAACTGCAGGCATATTAATGTACCTGACACTGAGCAACATCTATGATAGATATGAAGGCCCACAATGTTGCCTGACTACCTTAAATGTCAGCAGATGGGGAGAAATTCTAACCAATGATTCTTTATCTGAGAGTCAGGTGACATTTCATACGCCACAGAGCCGCATTTACTCTCCGTAATCCCACATATCCATTTAAGCAAGATGTTTTCTCGTGTTAGTCTTCTTTCTCCCTCACATTTTTGTTCATTATCTTTCTTTCGAACCCTACTTACTCTTGTGTGCCATATAGAGTGAGGCAACTTGAACAACTGTACTTCTGTACAAAACTCTACGTCAAAACTCAATCAGTTAGACAGCGCCACACAATATCAGTAAAGAAATTGTTGATAACACTGCTGACGACCCTTCAATGAACATCCAAGTTACTAGTTGAACTGTTGTTTTTCAGGTACGGTGTATGAGTGCGGTAGTTCTTGAAATTTAATTATTATCTAATCATTATTATGCTCATATTCCGTTGTGAATTTGTTGTTTGGATGGGTCTCATTTAGGCGATCATATAATGCCGATGCGTGATTCATGTCGTTGCCAACAACAAGTGTGTCATCAATATATCGGCGGTAGTAGGTTGTTCCACTGATAGCAGAACTCAGTAGGGGGGGATGAGCAGTATTCTATTGAGAACTATGCCATCAATTGATAAGAATACTATTCACTTAAAATTAAAACGTTTAAAAGGCAGTTATAAGTATAGAATCTCATCATAGAGGTTAATTTAGTATAACTTACATGGTTTCGGGTGTGCATTGGCAATATGACGTCTTAAAGAAGAAAAAGTTTCAAAATGGATATCTTTTGATGGATTTGTCTCAGCGGTGTCAATATCAGCAGACATTTGCTCCACGCATAGATGACAAGTGTAACCATGATGCTTTGAAGAATGACGTTCAAGTTTTGAGGCAGTTGGAAAGGCTCGATCACATTTTCCGCATACATGTTTCCTTTCACTTACATGAAAATGCAGTAAAAAAATGATAATGAATTATTCATACATATAAAGATAATGACTTTTAATGGATTATTAAATTTTAAAGTCTCTTTAAAACAATTTAGAATGTCATAAGATGTAGCTCAATAGCTGAAGCACTCAACTTTCGTCCAACTGGTCTAGGATTCGAATCTTGCCCTGCTTGGTTCAGAGTGGAGAATTCGATAGTAAGTGTGACTGACAGCTTATAAATGCAATATCTATTCCTAATAACTAAAGCTTAACTAGCATAGATGACTCTGAATTTACTTTCTCTGTGCTTCGGAGTTTCAGTGGCAAAGTGCAGTGAGAAAATGAGTATGCAGTGGACTAACGAAAAAGCCTAGGAATATATGGACCTCGCGTAGGATTTACATTTCATATGAAGATATCCGACTAACAACAAGCACCAGTCGTTATAAGCGAGAGGAGTCACAAGAAAGTTATGTCTTTCACTCACCTCCTGGGCAGCATAGAGCTCCAACTACAAATGGCACAGATGAGTTTATTAAAACCAGTCAGGATTGGGAAAGTAAAACACTGTAGAAGTGTGATGCAAACAGCGTAAGGTGCACGATTCGAATTTTCAATACTAATGCTAAGCCAACGTGCGCATCACCGAAGGCGTTTCCAATAGGCTGAAAACTTTCCTCGACTACTACCTTCGTTTGATACTGAAGTTGAGATAGGCAGCCAGAAAAAGGATAATGAACAAGGAACTCTGGCAGTGAAGTCAACCAGCCAGAAACCCGTCACCCAACAAATGTGCTGACTGACTGGTTTCAGCATAGAATTTTGCACAGATGTCTAGCAGTTCGAGTTACCACACTACCTTCATGTAGCACACAGTTCAAGAGAAAAGAGAAATTCAAAAGTAAACAGAAATAAGAGGCAAAAAGAATAGTAATATGGAAGAACAATAGTTTTACTGGGTAGGACAAGTCACAAAGAGTGAATGCATCTGTACCATCACCTAGAACGATTTTGAGCCATATCACCTATTGTCTCCAGTCATTGGTTCTCACCATCGTGAGGACCCCAACCAGACAGCAGTCTACACCTACCTGTATGACTGGCTTAAACTAAAATGTGGATTTCATTCATTGACGAAGCCGTGTTTTGGTTTGACTACCACTAGCACCTCCTTTCCAACCTGATTCTATATCAGCTAACATCGAGGAAGGCGACAAATATGCAGAAAGAAATGAAGATGGATTGAAACCTTGAGTGGCATTACCCTTCAGATACGCCGCTAAATGGAAACCGAGTTATACATGAGTCCGAGAATGATATGGAGATTATGTGTAAGAGGAAATGAAAGATTGTGGTCAGGCATTCTGCCTACTAAGAATGACAGTATAGAATAAATTACACTGGATATGTGCTGCAAAAGTCCTTCGCTCTACTCGGAATAGAAGGGACGGATAATAATAACAATAATAATTAGGCACTGACTTGGGATTTATCAGCACAACTTTAAGGCAACGCTTCAGGAATAACAATCAAGCTTAAAGTTCACCCTTTTCTCGAAAATCACATTAACAGAACACTATACAACTGTATCCGTACTTTGCCATATTTCACAATAACGAAAAAAGGACAAAACTACGTTTAGATAGTGGACGATATATATATATATATATATATATATATATATATATATATATATAACGTGTCATTACCCATTTGAACGAATTTAAGACTCTTACAAAACTGATATGCATGTTTCTCTCAAGTTTGCCGGAAGTGTGATGATGAAGCGAAACAAATCAATAAATTAAATGTTGAAATTAAATTGACATGATTCGGTGTGAATGTGTAATTCAAACAAATATAAAACAGAATTCTATGTGTAAAATGGAAATAACAAATCTTGGTACCTACCGATGCACAATAGCCATATGAGCCCATACCATTTTCTTTTTTTGAAAAGGCCCAGCAGAACATTGTGGACAAGAGTAGGTTCTCTGCCGTTTGACAGAGGTTTGCAATTCCGATGAATTATTTTTCGGAACAGATTTTGCACATTTTGGAATGTGACGAGTTAAATGCTGTTTACGTGTGTAGGCTTTACCACATTCACAAGTATATGGACGCTGAAAGAACAATACGTAGTGTAGTAGAATGACAATAATTATTCAAATATACGGAGTAAGGCAGGTCAGTTTACGGTGTACTGAAAAGCAAGTCATTACGTTTCAACATACTACAGAGGAAGGATATAAACAGCCATAGAATGCTAGTGAAATAAACGTAATGGCTGGGTAATTATCAGGAAAGATTTGTTTGTCTATGGAATTCTGTGGGCGGTTGTTACTCCCTGAATGCCTGCACCGTAGTTGATTTCTACTTGAAATATGTGAAACAGAAAGAGTATTATTACTGCGTGACCGTGGAGTCCAGATGACAAATGCTTGAGGCCGGTCACATATGCTGTTTGAATTGGTTTTTGGAGTTGTGTCCCTATGAAGATCTTCTCGCCGGCTATGGACGATCACAAAGCAAGTTGAGATGCTTGATTTTTAAGGTCAACCTTTCCTAACGCCACCCCACCCCAAAGCGGAGAGGTAACATAGCTGGTTTGCTAATTGTTGAATGGAAACACTCTGCTGCTGTTAAATCACTTCGCACAGAGACTTCCAATAGTGGGAACGAATTATACTATGAAAGCAACTACTTTTAGTCTAACTTTTCCAAACGATGTGTGTTAGGACCTACAGGGACATTCCTTCTAGTCGATATAGCTTGTTGAGTCATTGTGACATATAAGTACGACCACTGTGTCAAGGTAGTAGGTATCAATTGAGTGGATTTCACCTAAATCAACAATTAGATGTCAATACAAACATTATCAAAAATACAGAGATGTGGTAAGTTATTGGTACTGTTTCCATAGTTCTGAGGATTGACGAGTACAGATTTTTTAGACAGTGTTTGCCATCAGTTCATATGATCAGACATTGAAATGAATGCTACACGATCGCTTTGTAAACTACACATTTCGCAGAACAGAGTTTGATGTCATAGCCCACTGGTCAGAAGTTTACACCATAATGAGTGTCCTGATATTTACAGAAATTGTTAACTCTATTTCCAAATATGAATCGAAACTAGTTTGCCGAAGTATAACAGAAGACAGATAAATATACGACTATTACGAAGCTCATTGTTATGTTGGTTGCTTATCAAGAATTCCATAAACGGGTGGGAAAGTTCCAGAATAATTTCCGGTCTATGGTCAAATTAATACAATTACAATTAAGAATTAAAATGCCATAATAAACAGGGGAACAGATAAAACTCAAACAGAGTAGAATCATAATTACTGAGAAGATTGACATATTGTGCAACTAGGGGTTAAAAATGTGGAAATAACAAAAATAGACAGGATGTTTGGATAAATAATCTAGTGGGATCATCACTAATGTGACGATTAATTGTTCATGCAATTAGGGATTAAGTATGTAGAAATAATAAAATGACAAAGTAGATAGGAAGTTCAGGTATTAAAATATGGTAGTGTAAATAGGTATTAAGAAAAACTTAAAAATAACATGAATTAACAATAAGTTTGGATGAGAAAGGCTAATGGGATAGTCACTATTAAAAGAATTACCTGTTTATGATGGCCGTGGCAGGGACAATGTTTGGACGTATTTTGTTTGGATACAAAGCGTTGGTTTGAGGTTTTCGACAGTTAGTGTCTCGGCTATGCTTAGATGTCTTAATTTTACTCCCTTTGATAGGTTTGATCGAATCTTGTCCTGAAATGTCCTGAATTGACCACATGTTCTGTCACTGAACTATATGCATGTTTTTGATATGATAAAGAAGATTTGTAGCTCAGGTGGATGATATTGATGTTAATCATCTCTCCCGGAGAGATGATGAAAGCTTCGCAAATTAACTATCCAGCTCAGAAAACACGATCACATCTAAATACACGTTTTCCTTCTCCTTTTACTAGCCAGTTTGGATAGTGTTCACGAGTGTGTTTTTTAAGCTGGCGCATAGTACGGCCGATGTACTCAGCTCCACAAGAACAACTAAACTGGTATATGCACGTTGAAGTGACCCAAGGCAACAGCTTGTCTTTCGCGTTCTGACTGAATATTTTCTTGCAGGAAAATGTCAATTGTAGGCTTGTGGCGAAGTATTTTTTCCTCAGAGATTTGGAGAGGCTTTTACGAAGGATTTCTGCTTAAATGTCACCTGTCTATTTTTGTTATTTCTACATTCCTAACCCCTATGTCAATCTTCTCAGTAAGTATGATGCTACTCTGTTTGAGTTTTATCCGTCTCCCTGTTAATTATGGCATTTTAATTCCTAATTGTAATTTTATTAATTTCACCCTTGACCAGAAATTATTCTGGAACTTTATACACGAATGTACAGCCTAGTTGATGACTTCGTCGAAAAGAAAATTTTCTTCGCTGCAACCGTCTTTTTAATAATTCCTATGATGAAATGTGTATATTCCGTAATTCCATAAACATATTTGAGATACACATAATTACTGGCCACAGAATGAACGACCAATATTTTCTACTCCATTTAACGGATGCCGTTAATGATGAAAGCTTCCCTACAAGTGTTGAGTGGTAGACACAAAGGGACAATAAAATGTCAGTCTTCCCTACATCTATTGCAAACTTCAAGGACTGGGTGATCATATTATCAGCAAAAACGAGAAATACAGACTAGTGCTAATGGAAACTGAAACTACCTGTGATGAGAATCTTGCCAATAAAGGAAGAAAAAAATTTAATTTTAAAAAATGGTCCAAATAAATGCTTTACCTCTCCAGTGTGAATTCGTAGATGTCCTTCCAATCGAGATGGCTTTCCAAAGCTCATATCACAATATGTACAGTAGACTCGTGTCATTTTAGTTAATGGTGGCTATTTCTTTCAGAACATTCATTCCTGAAAGTTCTCGCAGACCTATAAGTTTGAAAGATAACAGTTTCAAGCTTTATGTGCATTAAGATTACAAATTTTTTCTTGAATATAAAAAATATCACAACTCAACAGTTTTTGAGCTTCAATAAGATAGTTATTTGGAGTACAATATTACACTCGAAAAAGGATAAGTCAGCTTTGTTTCAGGGAGATTTATCTCCGTTCATTGACTTCCTTCTATTTAACGTTTCTTTTCAGTAGTTGGCAAGGATGATAGGTCTCACAACCATAAACGAGGAGAGAGAACTGCTGAGCAGAGCCCACGGTCTTTAGTTGCCAGCTAGCCAGATATCACGTATACGCCAGAGATGGCATATCCATGCTTAGATTTCTTCAGCGGTCAACCCACTGGCACTGGTTTATGCAACTTCCCCAATAAGTGAAATGATCAAAATGCTCTACCACTTCACTCACTCCTTAGCTGAGTCAATGTAGTCCAGTTCTGCTGCAAGTATCATCTTACATTTGACGGAGGGAGCGAATCGCATACCAACAAATTCGAAGATTACTGCCTGTCATGGTGTTCGGAAGACTGCTCTATTTTGTCTTCGCCTAGAACGACTATATCATCTGCATATTCTAAGTCAGCGAGATTATATCCTAGTAACAAGTCAGTCCCTGAAGTCACTTAGGGTTAGGTCCATTGGTACATCTATGATGAAATTAAAGGAAAATGGGGACAGTGGGCATCCTTGACGGACACCACTGGTTACCACCACAGTTGTCAGATGACAACTTTCCGTAGGCTCTCACTGGGCTGATTGCATGACTTCAAGTAGAGTGCCTTGATCAGTGAGATATATTTTTTCGACGTTTCCTCCTGATAGGTTTATCACAAGTTAATGCGCATAATATCCCACAATCTTGATGACTAGAGACAAACAGATGGGATTGAAAAGTTTTTCAAGAATTGACATTTTATTCACACGTACTGATCAAATATGCATGGGCATACTTCTTTTATAATACCTACATGTATCCCCGGTTCACATGTCGTTTAAGACGAAGTTAAAGCATCATAGCCAAAGTGGTCTTTCGAAAGTTTAACTTTAAAAGCCGATCAGACACAGAGAATGCTATGAAATGTCATTCGAAATCAAATCATGTCTGCCTTTTTGAACTTGGAGTGAATAGATACAGTATTCTACTTATTTACTACGTACTTTTTCTGCAAATCTATATTACTAGGTAGTGTTATGGAGTTTAAGAAGAGGTTTCGATCTAGGGTTGAGGTTAGGTTTAGGGTTAAAATTAAGGTTAAAATTATCGTTAGAGTTAGAAATAGATTCAATAGTGTCAGAAGTACCGATGGATTTCAAAGTACCATGACCTACAGTTATTCAGATGAATAAGTATATAGCGCATAGTACGATTCCTCTATAGACCATCTGTGTACTGACTGAGAGATTCTTATAACACAAACTACAACTACGCAGTGTGATATCATGTTAGCAATATTTTTCGGTGTACTTTTCAGCGATTATGCGACTTTTTTGCATCCGAATTCTGATTGGCCCTTCTAGGTCACTGCAGTTTTGAATACGATAGTTCAACTTAGCCTCGTTTAATACCACATGCTACTTAATATATCACGAAAGCATTTTGTAATAAAGTCTCCAGAAGCTGAACTATGAAACCTGATCCTAGTGAGTGAACCAATAATCTTGAAACAACTGTAGTAAAAATATAAACTCATGTTGGAATAAAAGACTCAAGTAGTACTTATTACTATTGTCCTGGATTCATCAAAATTCGCCAACCAGTTGGTGCTTATCATAAGCATAAGTAAATAGTTTCCAACCTTAGTGTTAATCTATATCAGTTTGATCTGATATATATACAGCATAAATACATAAATGAACTGTGCAGAACGATGGTTCCCAGTGCGGAGATCTCTGATTATAAAGCTTTTTTGTGAAAAATTTGAAATATATGGGAACACAGTTGTCATTTTGAGATTATAAATCCAACTCTGACTACAAATACATTGTAAATAAATCATATAATTAAGAGGCCCCAAGCTTACAATAATTCTAAACTAATTATAACCTGAGTCAGCAGTACCTTTTTATAGTAAATGAATACTTCGTCTGCCTAAAATGAAACCACGTGCTGATATAACGTTCTTTAAAAAACAATGGACATTTAATTAATGCGACGAGACCTTGAAGTTAGGATTTGCAGCTGAAATAAGTCTTTTAGTGCTGAAGTAATGCCAGTCAGTAGTGAATTTGGGCTGGGAGAGGCGCAACAATTCTGATAGGCAAACCCAATTGCAATAAGTTACAAGCTACTTCTGAAAATGCCTAGAAAAAGTACAAAGTACCGAATGAGTGCCAGTCATGATGCAAACCAGAAATGAGTTCTAGCCTGTGAGCCTAATCAAACCATTTCAAGGCTATAGCCTATATAACCTCTTCAATGCCATAACGTTTTGGCATTGACTTTGAAATTGAGTTAATAATGGAAGTCATTAATGGAATCCCAAAATTAAGTCATTATTAAGCTACACTTAAATTCAACTACCTTCAAGTTGCGGACTAACCTTCAGGTTAGAAACATGCCGAAAACTCTCCACGTGCGCGGGTGTACCGCGCATTCTTCAATAGACCTCCGAAATACAATTGTTCACCTGTGAATCTAATCGAATCTAACTTCAAATAAACCAAATTTTGTATGAATGACGCTTTCGTTTATCATACTAAAATTTCGCATATTTCTCGAATTTTTCAGAAACATCTAAAAATGAGTGTAAGTGGTAGTGAAACATATGTTATGATCTTGACTGCAAGCTGATAAGTAAAGTCTTGACGTATTTACGTCACACAGCATATGATTTCTCGTGCATTTATGTAGTGATCATGATATTTGTGGCAAACCTAAATATAATTTTGTATAGCTTTTGAAAAAGTTGAAAATGGCACTCTTCCATCAGAACACTTCATCTCATCCCCTCTCGAAAAATAAGATATTTGACTCATCAAGGCCATCTTTCTGACCTCCTAATGACTTTTTGTAAATTTAGAAGAGATATCCGTCTTTTTTCACTATGTTTCGGTAGGAGATCTAGGGACCAGTGAAAAACCATCAACAACTTGCATCCCAATTTGTTTTTCGGACTATATTACTGAAGTTTATTATAGTCTGAATAAATCTTACCTTCGAATAGAAGGAAATTCTGATAAGTTTTGATGACTGGTGATTGCAGTATGTTGTTTGGCAATTTTGTTTACTAAATGTAAGCTCTCAGCATTCAGCAAATACTGCAGTTAGTTCAAGATTCTCTCACACAGACTCTGTTTTCATTGAAACCAATCACTTTGCTGATTCCGGTTGGGAGGACGATGTGGGGCATAAGATCTCATGAAAGTAATGACTCATAATATTCCACATTTCTTTATAATCTCTAACTCTAGAGGTCAAAGGTGGTTGCCTCATGGTGTCTGGATTATTCTGAGGCAGCAGATTCATGTAAACAAGTCCTAAATCAGATGCGTGAAACTTTTCCTTGCGGTGCTATGGCAGTGTTAGAGGCATTTCGGCCTCTATGGTAGGTCATAGAGGTAAATTATTTTCCGAAATTATTAAGCTCCAGCTTTCTTCAATTAAAGTCTGATTATAAGCTTAACTAATCAAGGCCGCCATATAAACCCAATATGTGGGGGCCAGAAATCGTCATCGCATGCGTATATTGTCACGTTGCGCTCGATTATGCCCACGATATTTGTCTGTCTAAGCCAGCATATCTAACATTCGGTTTGCATGCACAAACACATTTCGCATTTTGTTAGGTCCATCTGTTTCGACTCGGCTCACTGATTGTTCACCATTGTACGTCAAATAAGTACACAGGACCGACGGCTTTAGAATGCGTAATGTGGAATTGTCTTGTTCCCATTTCTTCTTAAATCCTTTGTCTACTAATGGATGGTCCTGCCAAAACCCAATCAGTTTCATGTCTAAGGAACTAGTCTAACAAAGTGGATGGCCACATAGCAATCCTGCGCCTACCTCTAGGGAAACAAAGTTGAATTCCTTCAAGCAACACAAGTAAATAGCTTCCCGAAACTGATTATATGCACTGAAGATCAGTTTGCCCACTCGTGTAAAAACGGAGTTCGATCATCTAACTGAACACTTTCAGGTACAAATATTTGTCTGGTATGAGAAAATGTAGACTACAGAAAACTTATTTTAGGATGAATGATATCTGTAGTGGCCTGTAAAAGTCGCTTCAACTTAAGACGTTGAGACGACCGAAAGGAAACGTATATAGCATAACTCATCGTTTAAACTAGATGCAGTTTCTGAAATACTTGCTCTGGAACTCATAAGTCAATAGACGAAGCATCCTGTACCTCACTGCAGTGCGTAAAATTCATATAGAGTATACGCTACTTACATGTACCATGCATCCAATCCTGGATTGATAAAACTCAGCTTTCGCCACCCTGGCAAAGGCGACACTTCAAATCTCTGACTTTTAGACCTCCCGATATCAACAACATGTGGGCAAGCTGTATCTACTTTGCTCCGTTTCTAACTGTTTCAGTCGTTTAATTTCGACTTTGGATGGCCTCACCTGCTTATTCGGGTGTCTGATTAGCTTTCCAGTTACTGGTATGCGGCCTTTCAGTGTATGACTACTGTAAAGTGATTTATGAACTGCGTTGGTACATTCACTGGTGAGGTATAAATTCGGACGCCAGATGTCATCACTCCAGGAAGTGAATGAAATAGATGGGGAAGAGTGCGTGCGACCGTCAAAAGTGCACCAATAATCCTTGCTCATAGCCATCAGTATCCTGCGTAACCTGGTCCTTTTGTGAAACTCAGGGTAGAAAAAGAGAAACAATGAAGAAGAATGCATCAATTAATGTATTACACGATGGGAGGTTTTGTCAGATCTCAATATTTACATCTCGATGAAATCAAAACAAAATGCAGGAACGTCAGCGCATCTGGAGAATAATGATAGTGCTGCCTGTCCATCACATTGACACAAGATCCGCCGGTGCGAAGTAAGACACTACGCAGTGAAAGGTAATTACCTAGTCACCGTTGTTTAGTGCTTTGAAATCACGATGGAGGCACATTTTTGTTAACAAAAATCAAGCCATGAAACAGATAATACTGACAGATGGTGCCTCTGGACTTAATTTCAGAACTACACTCAGAATTTTCTTCATTCTGTATAGTGGAAACACTGACTGAAGTAATTGATGGGCAAATTTAATATATAGTGATCCATAGAATGAAGACTCATGATTAAATTCCAAGCTACCAGTAACGAAATCCAGTGGTTTTCACTTAAAAATAGCTTTATTTACAAGCGCTATAACTACGTTATGTCCCGTGGGGCCAACGCGTTACCCAACTGGTGAGATACGTTTAAGATCATTATTGCGTTTGCACTCCTGACTAGCTATACTAAAACTTGACCTGAAATGGATAGAGATATATCTCTTTACTTTTTTACCGAACTTAGGAGAAATCCATCAGGCCTTGAGTTATAATGAGTTACAGTAAATAACTGTTTCGGTTGTTTGAAGCGGGAGTTTGGAATTGTAGGTCACGACCACAACATGATTCGTAGTGTCATTCGTGGTCGTGCAAGTTCACGATTATTCAGTGTAAGTGAACCTATACTGACTCTTTTCTAAGTATCAGCTTGGGTGATCTTTTTGACATTTGACTCAGGGCGTCATTATCACCTGTCAAGCGTCATATCTTGATGCGTATCGTCGTAAGTATTGCACCTATCTCACAGATTCTGTAGAACAGTAGTAGCTTGGGGTGTTTTCCAATTTACAATCCTGTAGACGATTCGAAATTTTTTTGGTGGATGTGTTCATAGGGTTGGCTATGCCAACAGATGATTGTATTTGACAAAATTAATGGCAACGGTAAAGAACACTTGCCACAACCAAATAAACTTGAACTAATCAGTCATATTCTTCTAGGTGGAATGTAAAATTTTTGGTATGAAAGGTATATATACATAATAGAAACGAATCACGTAGCATATATGTGCCCAATATCCAGAAACGCGTCCCAATTTTTATACGATTAGTAAACGGTCATTTTCTTTATTTACCAGTGGGATTTGTATGAGTACCAGTTTTAGGACCCACAAATTGTCATGAATGATTGAGTTTATAATGAATATGCTTTGATGATGATAGTCAATGCTTAACATTTTAAATGGATGCCGTCCATAGCCGTCACTTTTTGATGTAGTTGTGACATGGCTCAAAATCGTTGTCAGTGGCGCAGATGTCTCTGTAATCTTTCATATTCCTTTCTACCATTACCCATTCTGTTTCACTCTTATACTTGTCAGACTGTATTGATTCTCTTCACTCATCTTCTTGTCTACCTCTGTGTGCTATTTGGAAGGTGGCAACTCGAACTGCTGCACTTCGGTGCCAAGTTCTATGTTGAATCCAGACAGACAGACAGTAGTTGTGTTCTCTGAGCGGGATAGTTAATTTGCGAGGCTTTCATTGAAGTCTTTGAAGTGAAGTATGCACTAAAAATGTTGCCTAGTAGGCAATGAAAGCTTCGCAAATTAACTATCCAACTCAGGGAACACAACCACATCAAAACCATCCATCTGAGCTACAAATCTGCATTATAAAACCGTCAGTTTAACCCGAGTTAAAGGTAGGCTTAGGCCCTAACCCTAAATCAGAGTGAAGTTTGCGACGAAGGGTATGAAAAGCATCCTTTTGCAATGTTAAGCGATCTTAATGGCTGCTCTAGAGTCATATGGCTGTGGTATCTATTCTTTACTCGCGCCAGTTTAAGTTAATCCTAGGTGAATTTCTTAGAGGGTACATCTGTATGAGTTGTAAATCATTAAATCCATATGAAATTTAAATTTAATGAATTCTCATTTGTATTACTTCGTATTGAAACATGTATCAACGGTGCGTATAGCTAATTAGATAATTTTATATTGCATGAAAAAGACTACTATGTACGTCGTTACGGATTTTAACACCATACAAACACTACAGTAGTACTTTTACGAGCAGGCTTGGGTGCATCTGTAAAGATGCTAGTGCAACTTTTGTACTGTACCTGTTAATATACAAGTTGCACGAAAGTCAGTGACCGTAAAAGTATTCGTATGAATCATAGATCTAATTAGTTAGTCCTCTTGGAAACACGAACATGCTTCACAATTTTTAATTTGTTTACAACATTTAACAGCAGAGTAATGTTGGAAGGTGCATGCGGGAATATTGCTAGTTTTTCATTACTGATAATTAATAAGATAGCATATTGATTATTCTTATTTCAGCGCATATAATAAATACTAACATCCTTCATCAGCGTGGATAAGATTAGCAAGGAGCCACAAACGCTGGTGATCACATGTGAACTCTCATATAACTACTTCCAGACTACACTGTCTGTCTGTCTGTCTGTTTTCGACATAGAACTTTGCACAAATGTGCGGAAGTTCAAGTCGCCACACTCCGTGGAGCACGCGAAGCAAGAGAAGAAAGTACAAGAAAAGCATAATAGAAACAGTGAGCAGAGGTGTGAGACAAAGGAGTAATAAAGAAAAACAAAACAGTTTCATTGGAGATCATAAGTCACAAGGAGTGGATGCATCTTCGCTATGCACTGAGAACGATTTTGAGCCATGTCACCAATTGTTTCCAACCATAGATTTTTACCGTCCCGAGGACCCCAGCCTGGAAGTCTAGACCTTCCTACATGGCTTAGACCAACTGTTGTGGATTTCATTGACTGGTTAAGCCAAGTTTTTGTTTGACCGCCGCTGGCTTTTTTCCAGCCTGACCCTATATCCGCTAACATTGCTCGTCGAGGGAGGCGATGGCTTGGCATACGTAACACATGTCCTAACCATTTCAGTCCTTGTAACTTCACGACTTCATCGATTGATTTCCCCAGTTTACCTAGAACTCTACGCCTAACTTCAATGTTGCTCACCTTATTATGCCACTTTACACAGGAAATAGAGCGCAGGCGCCTATGACCAAAGACAGCTAGTCTTTTCATGTCTTCCACTCTCAGTGGCCAGGTCTCACAACCATAAAGGAGGACGGAGCGGACTGATGAGCAGTACACCCGCCCTTTGTTCGATAGTCGAACATCTCGTCTGCGCCAGAGTCGGCGTAAACTGGCAAATGCGAAACGAGCCCCCTGTATTCGTGCTGAGATTTCGTCAGAGATCAACCCGTTGGCACTGGCTGATGGTACTTCCCAAATAGGTGAAGCGGTCAACGTGCTCTACCACTTCACTTCTTACTTTTAAACTAGGCGTCGATGTAGTCCAATCCTGTAACATCATCTTGCATTTGGTGGGAGCGAATCGCATGCCAAACATTCGTAGATTGCAGCTCAAGGTGTTCAGAAGACTCTGCATTTCGTCAGCGTCTTCGCCTAGAAGGACTATATCGTCTGCATATTCCAAGTCGACGAGATTATTCCCTGGAAGCAAGTCAATCCCTGAGTCGCTGAAGTCACTGTGAAGGAACTTGGCAGGATTTGTACTTTGATATATGTTTCTGTAGGAAATAATTCGTCGTATTGACTCGCGGTTATTTACTTTTGGGTGTGAGTTAAGAGGCAAACTGGCTCGCTTAAACTGTTGAACTTGATATTTCCGACTTGAGCCCCCGCATATTGTCAGGAAGGAGATTGATAAATTTTAAGAATCTATGTATTTGATTTAATTTTCTTGTACAATGAGGCATATTATGATTCTAGCCTTTTTCAATCATATTGGTAAAATAGAGTAAAGAAAATCACTCATAATTTCTGTCTGTCGCTTCAGAACTTATATAACACTGTACGTTGTGGTGATATGCTTCATGTGCGATGAAAAATTAACAACAAAAAATAGTTATCACACCAACTTATTTACGATATGCAGATGTATTTTCTTTTCTTTTAAATACTTTATTTTTGCACACTCATGTGTTGTCTTCTTCCTGATTCTGTCCTCATTCTTTACAACATTTGGCAGTTGTACTACAATTCATTATTGTTTCCTCCCATATAAGACTATTGCAAATTAATACACTCGTAATTGGTCTTATAATGTGTCTATTTATTGTTATTTTCATCGTATTAACGGATTATAGTAATACAATTTTTATATAAGTGCAATAACTATGTGACACGGTATAGGCTGGAGCTTGTATTCGAATGTTATTGTTTCATGGATATTTATGTAGCTGGAAGGGCTAGTTGTCGTAACCTTTATTGTCGTCTTTAAATTACCTTATGATTCATACTACGAATATCACCTATATGTGTGAAGAACATTTAATTTTGAAGAGTTGGTTTATAAGGAATAGTTTTTGTTTTTTACGAGTTGATCACGGATTGATATCAACTAGAGAACCATTGAAAACCAGGGAGTCCTGGACAGCTGTTTCATCCTAGTTTGGGAATCATCGGGTAGAAGTTAGAATACATGGGTCATTGAATCGAGTCCCAGTGCCTGAATGGTGTGCGAGCCTGCCTTGTAACCGGAAGGTCGTGGGTTCGAACATCAATGGGTGCGTACTGCTGATGATTCCCAAACTAGGATGAAAAACTGTCCAGTACTATCTGGTTTTCAACGGTTCTCTAACTGATATCAATCCGTGGTCAAACTCGTAAAAACGCTTAACACTACTGATGTTATACTTTATCGTGCAGAAAGATACAGTGGACTCATCTGCCTATATATGAGTTTACTACCAGTAGCTACCGTTAGCATACGCCTCGTTTGTGTTAATTAAGTTATGTGTAACATTTAAAATTAGTTATTTAGGCCTTACTTTTGCTTTTACCGATATTTCGCTTCATGAAGTCTCAGTTAATAGAGGTATTACAATAGTACTTTTTCTCCTTAATGTTGACTAATTTGAAAAATGTGATTTGTCAAAAAACTGTATTTATGATTGTTTCTTTCATTGTTTTATGTTTTCATTCTATCAGGTATTTGCTAGTAGTCGGGAGTATACTACACGAACACCAGTGAATACAGGAATATTATTTGTCCCAGAGAAAGAGGCATGGGTTGTTGAAAGACTGGGGAAATTCTACAAAACTCTCAAACCGGTTAGTATTCAGAGACTCTTTTTCTGACATCTTATTGCAGGGGCTCAATTTTTGCATTCCCATAGTGGATCGCATTGCTTATGTGCAGTCACTGAAGGAAGTTGCCATAGAGATTCCAGACCAGTCAGCAATAACGTCAGGTAATCAGAAAGTTAAATTTAGGCATTGATTTATAAAACAGACAAGCGAAAAGTACTCTTTCGGATTAAGTTTTCATTATGCTTATATATATATATATATATATATATATATATATATATATATATATATATATAATACCTTAGAAACAAAACCACATGATAGGGGAGAATCGCAACTGTGAAGAAGGCACCAAATGCGTTACGGCAGACTATATATGTTTAAGTTTACCAGGAGTGATTGCTTATTTGAAGCGGGTGTTAACTGAACTGCACGGATTTACTCATTTCTTTTTTATTTCACGATATCAGCTTCCTTTGTATAGTATCAGTTGCTGTAAAACAAACCAATTCTCCCATCACCAAGCATTCTTGTCTTTATTACCTTACTTTAATAGCACTTCCTAAACTCCTTTTCCAAAGGCTGTTACCAACTATCTTAGAGGGTCTAAAATCATTTCTAGCCTCGTAAAATCATATTATCAATTTTAGATTAAAGGTTGACTGGATGAAACTATTGTATCTTTGACTGGTTGTGTCTGTATTACACTACTCAAATAATTTTTATTCATGTAGCTTCACCGGACTAATCTGTTCACTCACTACACTTAATTCTAGTTTTATTTGTAATGAATAGCAATTATTCGCGTAATGGGAGAATAGATGGATAGAAATGGAGTGTCATTCAATAAGCGCTTGGTCTGTATTTTGTGAGCAATAAACCATATCTATTGTGTAACAGCTGATAATACTAGGTGGCTGCCCAAACCTCAGCAGCCGGCAGGGAGGACCCATAAATCAGTAGCTGAAAGTCAAATGTGTAGAACAGTGAGCCACAGCTCTGTACAAGTAGATGCATGTAAAACACTTTACAAAAGGACATGATTAAAAGTGACTACACTTTGTTACATCCGTAAAGTGATAACTGAGGAGTTCTAAATTGGTATAAAAGAAACACGGCTTACTGTACATTGACTAGTACCTTTATTATAAAAACCCCTGAATCTTGACTTAAACTCTTGCTTAATGATATATGATAGCACCTGAGTGCCTATGTTGACACAATTACTTTAAAAATTTGCGTTCCAGATAACGTTGTTCTCCAGTTGAATGGTGTTCTATTTCTGAAGGTGAAAGATCCCTATTTAGCATCTTATGGTGTGTCGGAAGCGGAATTTGCAATTACTCAGGTACACTTTTTGTTGATTTTTAATCGCTATTGATTTAAATTTATTGTTAGTCAAGTCAAGTTACCTGACAACCACTTGCAGTTCGATACAGTTGACCATAGGCCACATTCATTGCATGAGGGCTAATGATACTACCTGGTTGTGCAAAGCATAGTAGGTGGAGTGGGATTTCAGCCTGCTTCCCAGTTGTTGAAAGTCGAGTACCTAGACCAGTGAACTACAGCCCCACAATTTATTGTTAATCGACCGACTGACCGGCAGACATCAACTTAGGATTCTGCGTAAGAGTCCATCAATTTAAATTAATACAAATCGGAAAATCACATGTAAAAGCAGACAAAACAAACGTAATGAAGGCGAGTGCGTCTATCGTACAGTGGTAGAATGCTCGCCAACCACGCATATAGTCTGGAGTTCGATCCCCGGCCTAGACACTCCTTAACGTCGCCAAGCCATCAGCAAGACTGGTAAAGAGGGAAAGTTTGGCATGAAGAGAGCAACCTCATTCCGTAAAAGTAAACACCACTGCTACCGAAACTTCAAAGCTCTAGCTTGAAGCCCTATACTCCACTGGGGACGTAAAGGAATAAAAAAATGTAGGCGATTAGTGAACATTTTCATAATTGTAAGATGGCAATAAGTGAATACATCTAAGTCATTGTGCCTATCTTTGATCCATCCATATCACTAACGGTCTCCAACCATTGGTTCTTAAAATCTCGAGGACTCTAAACAAGTGCTGAAACACTATCCTGTGTAGCCCAAATAATTTTAAATAGTATGAGAGTAGTAGTGGGACTGTGATTAGAGAATTTTTTCTGCATCTTGTGTCACAGTTTTGCTGTACGTAGTAGTATGAAGGTTATCTACACTTCTTTTTATCTACTATGCAGTTCCAGTGCTTTGTATTGCCTCTATCACTAAGCCATTCAGATCGTATATATCCTACATTTTTGATATACGCTCATTTAAGTCAAAACGGTTGTTTCATTCCTATCTATGGAGTTATTAAAGCATAAACTAGTAGCTGGCATAATAATAGTAGATTTTAATGACAGTCTAAACAGAAGATCTATCCTTGTTAGTGATGTGATACTATTCATCTATAAGCTTGGTATAAAGCAAATTAACAGTCTTTACAATCAATATATTTGACTAACATGTGTGTGCACTGATAACCTGTTCTTCGTGGAACATACTTCAATGTTTAAAAACAACAAATATTGCAATTTATGCCTCTGTTTGAGCGTTAAAGTTCATTTGAATATAAGTGTATCTTTCAGTCATTATCAGTCGTTTTCTCTGTATTTGAATAATGTAATGACCAATAGCTTTTATGATTGATATTTAAGTTGGCACTGTTCAACTTTTTGGGCAACAACAACAGCAACAACAACAACAAAGAACAACAGACAGCAATCAGCATAATTGGGATAAACCTGAAAGAAACAACCTCCTTTACCTACCTGGGAAGCATCGTTTCAACTACAGGCAAATGGAACTGACGAGGATATCAAAGCAAGAATCGGGAAAGCAAGACAAGCTTTCATTTCTCTGAAGTCTGTGTGGAGGTCAACAGCACTCATCATCAAAAATGAGATCCTGATTTTCAACTCCAATGTGAAGTCAGTGCTACTATACGGATGGATCAGAGACTTGGCGTGTCATAAAGAATACCTTAAACAAACTACAGATATTCATCAACAGCTGTCTTCGGTCAATACTCAAGATCAGATGGCCAGAAAAGATCACCATTAGTGAGGGATCTCTGCGAGCGAGCCAACCCAACAGGGACTAGTTGTGCAACAAATATACCAGAAGAAACGGAGATAGATTGGCCATACTCTGAGGAGACCATCAAGTGACATCACTAGACAAGCCATTGCTCCAGTGGAACCCGAAAGGAAAGCGGCTAGTTGGTCGTCCAAGGGTGACTTGGAGGAGGTCATGTGATGCGTAGATGAAAGCACGTGAACAGACTTGGAGCTAGGTGAAGACTTTAGCAGAGAATCAAACGCAATGGAGACGTGCGACTGAAGCCCTATGTTCCTCTAGGAATTAAAGGAAACAATAATAATAATACGTTGAATGAAACGCCCTTCCATCGTCCGTGGATTTCATGGTGTTATTTTGTCGATGAGGCATACGAACGGTCAATCACCCTTTGTTGTTATATGATGTAAATCCATTTGAAAGTCTAGTACATGTAAGTATTCTGAATTACGGAGCCATATAATTCTCAGTATGAAGGAATGTTTATAGCATTTGTCTTACCACGTGCATCAAACTACTTATTGTTTGACTGACAGTATTTGCCTTTTGTCAGTCATCATAATGTGCTCTAAAACAATATATATGTATATATTTTTACTTCCTGAGTTTCAGGCTTCAAGCCTCGATGTTTCAGTCTGCGTGGCTTTGTTTTAACAGGGTGGGTTACTGGCTTCGTGCCCAACCTCCCCTTTTTTTCTGGGCTTACTATCGGGCAGCAGAATAGGCGAGGCTTAAGAATGCATCGGCTGAGAATCGAACTCCGGGCCATTTATGTGTCTGGTGAGCATTCTGCCACTGAACCACCGACCCACTGAACAACATAAGGTTGTGTGTATATCATAACTCACTTTACTGTAATTTGATAGTTGAATATCTATCGCTTTCTTTTGTTTTATTCTGTACTGTTACTTTGTTCAAATATCTTTTGCTATTTTATTTTCCTGATAATAATAATTCTTCTAGTTAGCACAAACAATAATGCGATCAGAGATTGGTAAAATTATTCTGGACAATGTCTTCAGAGAACGAGAAGCATTAAACATGCAAATTGTACAAGCTTTAGGCAAAGCATCTGAACCATGGGGGATTGAATGTTTACGTTATGAAATTCGTAAGTTAAGAAAAGATAAAATATCCTTCATTATGGATAATATTTCTAGGTGATGTTCAAGTACCACAAAAGATTAAAGAAGCTATGCAAATGCAAGTTGAAGCTGAAAGAAAAAAACGTGCTTCTATTTTGGAATCAGAAGGTCAACGTGAATCTGCTATCAATCGTGCTGAAGGTCTTAAACGTAGTCAGGTATTAGAGTCAGAAGGTCGTCGAATAGAGATTGTAAATAGAGCTGAAGGTAAATATTTCCAACTCTGTGTGATACTTTTTTTTGCCATAAAGAATTTAAACACAAGAGAAAATTAAATTCATAATTATAGGATTTTGAAAAGCAAGAGTAAAGTTAACGAATATATGTAGATATCCATTACTAGATCATAAAACACACTGGGGAGTGAAAAGGCAGGCATACGTGGGATTGACGAAAAGACACTGAAAAGGTTTGAACTTCGCGAACGATTTGTGTATTATATCACACAAACATGAAGACCTACAGACGGAAGCCAACGGCTTGGCCAAAGAAGCAGAGGAGACAAGATTTAAGGTGAACATAGAGAAGACATGTGCGAGAGAGGAATCTGAAGGAAATCATCTCGTTCACTCACGACCTGGGCATCATCGTTTTAGCTACAGGTGACACGCATGAAGATGTAGAAATTCAAGATGGACCTTCATTAATCTGAAATTAGTATGGAAATCTACTGTAATCAGCATAAGGAACGAAATTCGAGTTATCAACGCTGTTGTCAAATCAGTCTGTGCTTCTATATGGATCAGAGAATTGGCATAATCGTTACCGAAAGGTTTTCCGACAAGCTTTCTGCAAACTGTCATTAACGTCAGCCGTTTTCATTCCATATGGGAGATAAGATGGCCAAAGAACTCTGGCAACGAACCAACCAAGAACTTATTGTCCAACAAATATGGATGGACATGCTCTGGAGAGAGATCGTTGAGTGAAATCACTTACCAGGCCATCGAGCGGAACCTGATTGGGAAACAGCGAGTTGTACGTGTGTCCGAGGATGTATAATAAGGTGAGCAATATTGAGGTTAGGCGTCGAGTAGTGCTAGGTGAGGAGGGGAAATTAGTCAACGTTGTTGTTAGGGCATGTGTTACACACGATGATAATAGGTGATATAAGTCAAAATCTTTCTCAATGGCTGGCTCAGATGTATCCACTCCTTGTGATTTATAGTGTAAAAAAATTCCATTGTTCTGACCTATTACTGTTGTTTTTGCCTCAAATTTCTATTTATTATCTCTCTTCTGAATGTCTGTTGCTCACTGTCTTCTCCTTCTTTGTGTACTACATGGAGGTTGTGTGGCAACTCGAACTGCTGCACACCTGTGCAAAGTTCTATACTGAAACCAGTCAGTCAGTCAGTCGGTCAGTCTGAGGATGACATGGTAAATACCGGGTGAGGAGGAAATGAAGGTTTGTGGGTGTGCGGGTGGGTGTAGCCAGATGAAGATGACTGTAGAGAACATGGTGAAATGGTGATGTGCACCTGGGGCTGTGTGTTCCATTTGGAACCGAAAGGAATAATAGTGATAAAATATCTATGCATGTATATCTCTTGCGGGAGAAAGCTATTCGAAGGTTACCAGGAAAGCACACGAGAGAGCCAGGCATACTTTAGACCAGGAAGAGGGTGTATTGATCATATCTTCACCCTCCGACAGATTCTTGAACATAGGGATTCCTACCGGCGTCCAACAGTCATTATATTTCTCGACCTAAAGGCAGCATTCGACTCTGTCGATCGGGAAGCTCTCTGGAGATGCTTGTCTGTAAAGGGAATGACGAGAAAATATATTGCACTGATCAAGGCGCTCACTTTACTCGTACTCATGCAGCAAGGTGAGGGCTTACGGCAAGTTGTCATCTGAACTGGTGACGACTAGTGGTGTTCGTCAAGCATGCCCATTATCCCCATTTCTATTCAATTTCATCATAGATGTACTAATGGAATTAACCCTAACTCACTTCAAAGACACAGGGATTGACTTGCTTCCAGGGAATAATCTCGTCGACTTGGAATATGCAGACGATATAGTCCTTCTAGGCGAAGACGCTGACGAAATGCAGAGTCTTCTGAACACCTTGAGCTGCAATCTACGAATGTTTGGCATGCGATTCGCTCCCGCCAAATGCAAGATGATGTTACAGGATTGGACTACATCGACGCCTAGTTCAAAAGTAAGAAGTGAAGTGGTAGAGCACGTTGACCGCTTCACTTATTTGGGAAGTACCATCAGCCAGTGCCAACGGGTTGATCTCTGACGAAATCTCAGCACGAATACAGGGGGCTCGTTTCGCATTTGCCAGTTTACGCCGACTCTGGCGCAGACGAGATGTTCGACTATCGAACAAAGGGCGGGTGTACTGCTCATCAGTCCGCTCCGTCCTCCTTTATGGTTGTGAGACCTGGCCACTGAGAGTGGAAGACATGAAAAGACTAGCTGTCTTTGGTCATAGGCGCCTGCGCTCTATTTCCTGTGTAAAGTGGCATAATAAGGTGAGCAACATTGAAGTTAGGCGTAGAGTTCTAGGTAAACTGGGGAAATCAATCGATGAAGTCGTGAAGTTACAAGGACTGAAATGGTTAGGACATGTGTTACGTATGCCAAGCCATCGCCTCCCTCGACGAGCAATGTTAGCGGATATAGGGTCAGGCTGGAAAAAAGCCAGCGGCGGTCAAACAAAAACTTGGCTTAACCAGTCAATGAAATCCACAACAGTTGGTCTAAGCCACGTAGGAAGGTCTAGACTTCCAGGCTGGGTCCTCGGGACGGTAAAAATCTATGGTTGGAAAGAATTGGTGACATGGCTCAAAATCGTTCTCAGTGCATAGCGAAGATGCATCCACTCCTTGTGACTTATGATCTCCAATGAAACTGTTTTGTTTTTCTTTATTACTCCTTTGTCTCACACCTCTGCTCACTGTTTCTATTATGCTTTTCTTGTACTTTCTTCTCTTGCTTCGCGTGCTCCACGGAGTGTGGTGACTTGAACTTCCGCACATTTGTGCAAAGTTCTATGTCGAAAACAGACAGACAGGAAAGCACACTGTATTGGATGATCTTAGTAGTAGGTTTTCTGAAGAATTTTCACACCGTTGTTATTTTTGGGATCAAGGTTCTTTAGGAAAAGTTTTTTCACTGTATTCTATGTATTCGCTCAGTGGTGTGTTTTGTAGCTCTGATTTACTGACTACAAATAAATGCAGGCGGATACTATTTTGATTATACTTATCCAAAGATTCTGTAGTTACCATGAATAGCCTCCTGAGTTCTGTTATCTTTGGACCATTTTCTATGGAAGTGTATAGATAAGACTCCTCTTCTTATGCCTACATAAATAACATCGTCGTAAAGTAAAAGAGTTTTGTTTCCGCATCTGTCTTTCTATCTTTTCATTAGTTATTTAGATAGTAGGTTCTAATTCCCGAGAGGCTGAAACTGGTTGGCTGTCTGGCTGGCTGAGTTTCAACATAGAACTTAGCTCATAAATGCAGTGGTTCAAGTGTCCACACCGCATGTAGTAAGAAGTTTGTGAATCTTAATTTTTTGCCTGTCAATGTTCATAGGCAAATTAACTTTTATATTTCGCTTTATTGTCAGAATAACTCATTATTAATGTCTTAAGTCTAACTGATAATGGGAAACTTCCTATTATAGTTATTAAGGGTGACATCGCGCGCGCGTCAGGCCATTACTCGAGTGGAACCAGGCCGAAAGGGAAGCGGCGAGTGGGACGTCAGTGCAAGGGTGACTTGGAGGAGATCGTGTGAAGAGGAGTTGAAAGAGTATGGACTAACATGGATGCAGGTGAAAAATACAACAGAAGATAGAAGCAGGTGAAGACGTGCAGTTGAAGCCCTATGTTCCACTAGGAACCTATGGGAACAATAATAATATAAATTAGTTTTAATTCCCGTCTTAACTTTTTTTCCAATAATTTTTTTAGGTGAAGCTGAGGCTATGCAACGTCTTGCTGAAGCTCGAGCTATATCTATTCAAACTGTTGCGTGTGCTATTGCTGGCAAGGTACGTTAACTCTATGTAGTTAGTACATAATACAACTCATTGGGGCATTTCTTTTTGTTGTGGGGTATCATTAGCTCTCCCAAAACAGATTTCTCATGTGCCAGGCTATGAGACGCACGTATTGTGTGATAGCTCATGGTACGGCCCAGTTGCGCGTGCTAAAATGGGTAGGAAGGGACGTGAGTCTACTCTGCACATACAGCAAATGTGGTTCAAGCTTATATCGTAAACTACAAACGTATTTTGTTTTGCGGAAATTCGCTTTTGAGTAATTGTTATCTCACATGATTTCACTACTGAATAATTTCATCATTGATATCTAGATTTATTTTATCCCTTCACATTCTCATTGGAGCATAGACCTCTAAGCTTGTGCTTTAAAGTTCCAGTGGCGGTAAATTTATTTTCATGAGGTGGCGTCGCTAGCCTCACGCCTGAGCTTCCCTCCTTACTGGGCTTATTACTGACTAAGTGAGTTTTAGGAGTGCGTCAGCCTGGAAACGAACCCCGGACCACTTGCACGGTGGGCTAACATTCTACAACTGAACCATTGACGCACGCACATCTAGAATAGTTACCGCGAATTTAAGAGGATTTATCATCAGTATATTAAAAAATAAAAAAAATGCAATGAAACGGCAAAGTCCTTGTGCTTATAAAGGGATCAACTATGGATGATACGCAGTTTAACAACTGAGCTTCTTATGTTATGATACGGGTTTTCTTCCGATTCGGAGGATTCTACAACGCTTGCGATGAACATAGATGGCACTGAAATCGAGACCAAGTCGGAAATTAAATATCTTGGCGTCATTATATCTGGTGATCTCTCCTGGTTGTCTCATATCTTGATGATTTCTAAGAAAATATTCCGTCCTACCTTCTACATCAAGAAGTTGAGACATTCTGGAATAATCCAACCCTTGCTCTTACGATTTGTTAACTCTTGCATCCTGTGTATTATTCTCTATTATTCCCCCTTAATTTTTACAGGGTTATTGAAGAAGGACTACACCTTATTACATAGGGTGTTAAAGGTTATCAGCAGGGCAAGCAAAATGTCACCAGACCAGCTTGTTAATATTCTGGTCGACAGGCACTTGGACTCATGTGAAAAATGGGCTGAATCCATTTTATCTAACTCACACCACCCTCTTCATTCACAACTCTCCCCTTGTATCTCATCAGGAAAAACCAGAAGCCTATATAGAAAACTATATGCTCGCACTAGCAGGTACAAAAACTCAACCATACCCTCCCTACTTAGCTCGTGTTCTGTGCGATAAAGAAAGCAATAGACGTGATACCTATAACTTATTAAATAGTCAGTAGAACAATTGGATCTCGTCTTTCCAACTCATATCATTTATAGGTACAACGTTTTTCTTTCTTTCTTTCTTTTCCTTTTATCTCTCTTTTTTCTGTTATGTGCAACTTTGTTTCTCTCTTCCTTACAAACTCTACTTAAAACATTCTTCTTCGTTCTTTCACACTCTGTAGATCTCGACCTTTTTGTTACCGCTTACGCCAGTAAATACGCTAGTGCCTACTTTTCTAACACCTTCAAACATTCTGTTCAATTTTGGCTTTGCTACCGACATGCCAATATGTTGTTGTCAAAACTAACTGAGATTACCCATAATCTATGTAGAATTTTATTTATTGTTATTGTACTAACTGGATGCAATACTGTAGTGAAGTGCTGAGAATTCCATTCTGTATCAGAAGTACTGTTTTGGAATAAAGCAGATTATGATTATTGTTACCATTATTATGAATGAAAGCTAAGAACGAATTCTGTGGAAATCAAGTTTCATAGTTGTGAATTTATATTTAACAAGAACTGCTTTCACGAGAATTACATGGATTTAAATTCTACTACAGTATTCAAGATTTACAAATGTATTGATTTTAGATGTACCGGTTTTCGTAGATGAGAGGATTATATTATTCCTTTAAGTAGGTAACTTCTTGAATGCTTTATGTGTTTATAGAAGTGTGTTGATGGTTATTGCTTCCTGGCTGAAGTTGATTTCCTCTTGGAATAGCTGAAGCAGAAGAACCATTAGTATTGGGTGACTGCGAAACGCCGGGACAACTGCTTGAGTCTATTCACATACACCCTTCTTGGTGTGATATTTAGAGTTGTGCCCATATGAAGATCTTACACCCGGCTAGAGACTGCCGCAAAGTAACTGGGGATGTACAAATTTTCGGGTCCACCTTTCCTAAGCTCATTTCTACAAAGCGGTATAGACATTTTTAAGTTGTATGTGCAATTTTTGAATAGGATGGAACAGTAAACCCTTTATCGAATTTCACTTTTAACTAAATATTCAAAATTGTTTACTGAATTTTATTGTTTTAGCGTGGAGCAGATGCTGTACAACTTGCAGTAGCTGAACAGTATATAAATGCTTTCAATTCTTTGGCTAAAACAACTAATACAGTGTTATTACCATCAAATAGTGGTGATGTTGCATCTATGGTTACACAAGTGAGTTTAATAGTTTTCTGAATGGTATTCTTGTCCTTTTTTCCCTTCTTAAGAACTTTTCTACATCGAATCTTTTTCAACCAGTGAACTATATAGTATAGAGTAGATAAATGTACAAGGTGTTATCAGGATATACGGATAAATTATGGACCCACCTACAAGTAACTGTAATTCCTCAGCAGTAACGTTTTCGGTTACAGCACTAACTGGGTGCGATGTCAGTTTAATTTCCTGAGTAGGCATCAGTACCATCAAAGTTGAAGATACGCCTTTTCCGATGAGTGTTGATAAGCACGAAACTTATTGATTGCTTGGAACTATGTAGTATCAACTAAATGTGCTCCAGGATGGGAATTCATTCAGTAGCAAAAACTTGCCAATGGGATTTATCACTGTTAACATTAAGACATTTTGGTTTTTGTCTCTCCTAATATCAACAGATATGTAAGCAAAAAGATTCTATCTAATTTCAGTATAATTGTATGCTATTTGTATGCTTTACCTTCACAATAGGTTATTTGGCTACAAAAATTACAGTTGATTTAATCGACTACTGATTTTCCTCTTTAGAAGCCATTTCTAAAATTGTCGAGCCTCTTGCATTCATTCGGTATGAAACATATTTTCGAGCACATGAGTAACCTTTTTTTTTTTTGTATTATACTGTCACATCTGAATGCTGAATTCCTCCCTTGACAATGAGTAAACGAAGTGATGAAATGCATCTGGGATCTAATGAAAGCCACTACAAACTTTTTTAAATACAAATACGAGAACAACCTGTTTTGTAGTCCCTTCCTCTGAAACAGAGGCTTTCACAAAGTCCCGTTTGAAAGCGTGTAATGACTATCAAACATGTTCACTTTAGAAAAAAAACAAACCCATACATGACATCTGGAATAAAGCCAGAACAACAAAATAACCAAGACATGCATTACACATGCCTAGTCGCCGTCTTAGACAAGCAATATTAGCTGACATAGAATCAAGTTGGTCTGTCTGTCTGGATTCAACATAGAACTTGGCACCGCAGTGCAACAGTTCGAGTTGCCACGTTCCAAGTAGCACACAAAGGTAGACAAGAAGATGAGTGAAGAGAATCAATAGAGTTTGACAAATATAAGAGTGAAACAGAATGCGTAATGGTACAAAGGAATATGAAAGATTACAGAGACTGAATACATCTGCGCCATTGACAACGATTTTGAGCCAGTTGGAGATTAGCCTAGTGCTGTTCAAACCAAAAACATGCCATCACTCCATGAAATTATCGACAGTTAGTTTTTGAGCCACACAGGGAGCTGTAGACTGTCTGGTTGGCGTCATAGGGATTTTAATAGCAAGAGACAATTAGCGATATGGTTCGAAATCATTCTCAGTGGTTCAGGTGCATCCCAATCCTTGTGATCTTCTGTATTTATTAAATCCTATTGTTTTCCATTTAATACTATTTCTCCGTCACATTTCTACTTATTATTGTTCTTTTGAATCTCTTTTCCCTCTCTTTTAATTTCCGAACTGTTGCACTTCTGTGGAAAGTTCTGTGTTGGAACCATTGAGTGATTCGAAGTAGACTGGAACTAACTTATACCTTAATTATTAAAAAAGACATCATTTCCTTGCCTGCTGTCTCCCAGATGGTGAGGGGTTGTACTATTAAAAACTTTTACACGTTTCTGTTGCAAGTTCCTTGGAATTTGTTCGGACATTCAAATATAAATCCTTCTTTTTGTCTGTTTGATGTATGTGCCTTGTCACATACGTGTAAATTTGTATATGCCCTTAGTGGTTAACATAAAAAGAGAACTTGTCAGTCATGAATTGTCACAATAAATAATTTATTCATTAAATATTGACTAACAAGGGAGCTGGATAATTTCTTTAGCGCGCCTGTGTACTTGTTTGTTCCAGATACTTCATCGCCTTTCAATGCAAGCTGTAGGAAGACAAATTTCTTCTCAGTTGTACAACATTTTGCTTTTATATTTGGTCATCTTCTTGTATTTATCAACACAAATTTTGGCGAGTTGATCATAAAGTCTTTTTCTTTTCAACAAAGTCTTTCAGTAGGGTAGAAGATTGTCTTCAGCAGAAGTCTACTTATAGCTTATTGGACAAAAGCTATTGAAATTCAGATATGGTCCATTCTAGAATTCTTTGTGTGGTTTTAGTAATATCTGGACAATTGTTATTTCCCAGCGGCTCACATCGTGGAAGTTGAAAGAGAAACGACATTAGTGTTGAGTGGCTGAAGAGCTCAGGGACAACTGTTTGAGACTGGTTACACGCAGCCCTCTTGAAGGGATTTATGGAGTTTTGTTCATACGAAGACCTTACGGCTGGGTAAAGACCGCTGGAAAGTAAGTTAGGACATAAAAATTTTGGGGGCTAACTTTTTCTAATTCCCTCTCCAAAATACAGAAGCAACAGCATTATTGACACGCTGGTCAGCTAAGTAAAGCACCTTACTGCCGTTATATCGTTATCCCTCAAAAGTAGGACTTTGCCCACCTACTCTCAGCATAGTGCAAATACCCTACACTATAATGGTAATTTCTTTTAGTCTGCTATAGGCTTTTGACATCATACGACTTGTAGGAACTTTAATTTCAGCCAGTGTAGCTCATTGGGTCATTTTTGTATGCAAGGTCGACCATTACATCAAGGTAGCAGGTATCATCCATCGGGTCAGAATTCCTTACGATGGATGTACGATCGTATATTTTCATTTTTAGTTTCGTAAAAGTCCTGCATGCATGAAATGGAACTTATCACTTTATTCGTATACCATAGTGAATTTGTATGTTTGTCCATGTTAAATAAATAAACCTATATTGCTTTGCTGTGTAATTCTCACTTTTTTTTCTTCAAAATGGTTTTCAAGGCGTTATCAATATTCAAGAGTTTAGACAAATCAGGATCTACCAGTGATGGCACTGACGATGGTGGTGGAGATAACAACAAACCGGCGCCCACATCAAAAACTGACAACACTAGTGATATTCAATCACAGAGTGGCAGTAGTAGTACTAGTGATACACGACCTGTTAATTGTCGATTTCTATCAAGGAACAGATCAAACAAACCGTCAACTCCTTCAGAGACTGATGTCAATACTGCTACCGGTGCTTCTGCTTCTTCTTCTTCTACTGCTTTAGGTGGTGATTATAATGTCGGGAATGATTATAGTCGAGAAGGAGACTACGACAACGAAGTACAACATACCAGTAGAAAATATGTCAATAGGAATTAAAACAAAAATAATCCCAATAATAATGATCCTTATTGTTTTTTTTGTAGTTGATGATTGAAAAAAAAGGTGACTGTTTTCTGTAAAGTCGACAATGTTAAGTGATATTTCAGTTGTGTAATATAATTATATATGCATGTATCTATGCACATATATATCTGCATATATTCCTGTTTTTAGTTCCTCTTATGCAATCCCTGTGTGTATGTGTGTGTATGGCTGCGTGTATGTGCGGAAACGATGCAACCGAGATTGCACCATCTGTTTATATCATCTCTTCTTAAAGAATACTTGATGAAATACAATTTATTTATTTATTTATTTTTCTTCGTTTCTATTGAACTAAAAATCCCATGAATTAATTTCTTATTGTGGCGAGGAGTGCTACTGATAAGATATATATCAGTAGTATATAGACTTTAATAGGCATAAAAAACAGCAAATAGCAGGGAGATACATTTGATTTCATAGAAGGCAAATAATACAGCGTTGTGGTTTGTTCCCAGCCAAAATTTCTTGTCGCTAATTCTTTCTGGCCATGTGATCCTCAGTATGGAGCTGACGAAGGCAGCTATTGAGGAAAGTCTGCCACTGGCTGTTGGAAATCCTTTTTGTGACACGCAGTGCAAGTTTCCGACCTGTATAGAAGCACTGACCGACTTGACATTGGGGTTAAAAGTGCAAATCTTGTTCCTTATGCTAAGTGTGGAAGATTCTCGAACTGGTTTCAGGTTGATGAAGATGTATCTTGCCTTTCTGATCCTTGCTGGCTTTGACATCTTCGCCCAGTCCGCCTGTAGTTGAAACGATACTTCCCAGGTAAGTGAAGGAGGCAACCTCTGTTAAATCTCCCCTGTTGATGGTGATTGGTGCTGGTTGTTGTTTTCTCTGTGGGTTGGTTGGTTAGCTTCATCACCTCCGTCTTCTCTGTGTTCACCTGCAGTTCTGTTTTCGCTGTCAGCCTCTTTAGCCAGTTTGTTGGTTTTCGCTTGGAAGTCTTCGAGTTTGTGTGGCATTAGACATAAATCATCTTTTGAGTCTTTAATATTCAGAGTAAGTGTCAAGGATCTGTAGTCAGCTTCAGTCATGCTGTTCACTGATTACTTCAAGATGAATTTATATTCTGTATCGCCATTACGTAGCAAGCGAGTAAACTATTAATTCTCTCAGTTCCTATGTGATCAGTAATTTTCAGATGATTTGCAGAGATGTTACTCATCTCTTAATGTATCAACTTCATTACATAAATTAAAAAATTGTATACGTTGTTTAGCAGAATGTAACCCGGAGGATTTCATCTTCTCACACAATCTCCTGCATGCTATCCTCGAACCTCAGTCCAACTTGTCGTTTCCTATTAAACTTACACTACAAGTTCTCTCACGTGATGCTACTTGGATGTCTCCTCAGCATATATCTAACATATCTCCTTTTCCTTCGTCACACTTATTGGGCAGTAGATCTAGTCCTTTGTTTGGAGCAGAAAAAAAATCTATCGGTCACCTTCGCAATGTGACCATTATGCTAGATGGCTTACCATTCACTAGGTGATGCGGGTTCGAATCTCAGTGGTGACACCAAACCCCTTCAACATTAAAGATACGCCTTACTGAAGGATGACAAAAAAAACACAAAACCCTATTCTAAGTCTTCCTTCCTATTACCTCCAACCATTTAGCAACGATAGGTTAGTGATTAGTTCGTTGACAAAGTTATTTGTTGGTAAACCTTTTGATATTTGAATGCAGAAACTTCAGGTATATACTTTATGCTACTTTCTGTGGCAAAGTAGTATATACATTTACAAGAAATTCTATTTTTATTCTTTACTTGAAGAAATAATTAATGAATGTTAGTCTACTAAAAAAAAATAAAGAGGTTGAAAAAGAAGTTATCTTTCAAAATAAGCTTTTAATCACTTCTATATGCGTGTGTGTGTGGGCTTTTCAAAATATCAACATTGTAATTCCTATGGGTTCCTAACAGAGCATAGGGAAGGAGGGAGGGAGGGCACATCATGATTTCAGTCTATTCTCTTCAGTCTTTTTATTTTTAAGCTGAGAATTTGTCAGAAATACTATTATACATGTAGATAGAACACACACACACACCAAAGGGATAATTTATCATTTTTGCCTTTCCCACCAAATTTTAATCTTTTGAAATACTTTAAGACAAGCATGGGAATAATTGATTGCGTTGTGATGAAACAAGCTGGATGCCGATGACGACAAAGAAGTACTAGTTGTCTAGATCTTTTGAATTGACGGTTTTTTTTAATTCTGCCTAAAGTGGTATTTGAGAGGTGAAAGAAAAAAATATAGAAATATGATAAATTTATGTGTAGCATGCATGATCAAGGAGACTGTTTTTTCTTTCACTCGGTGATAACCATGGGATGATGTTATATATTACACCTTTCACTTTGCAAGTTATAATGATAATAATAATAATCATATAAACTATTAACTGATTAAAATACCCATTAAAATTTTCAAAAGATTAATTACTGAACAAAGAATGCTGTTTTCGATGACTTCATCATCAGGTTCTACATTTATGTATGCATAATAGTGAATGAATTAGTATTATAAACAACATTAATGTTGTTTGAATAACATCGAATCAACTATAATAATAATATGAGTGGATTATAGTTCGATACACTGAATATTAGAAAAATTAGGGAAAATAATAATACAAATTCATGGATTTATCTGTCTGTCTGTCTGTTTTCGACATAGAACTTTGCACAAATGTGCGGAAGTTCAAGTCGCCACATTCCGTGTAGCACGCGAAGCAAGAGAAGAAAGTACAAGAAAAGCATAATAGAAACAGTGAGCAGAGGTGTGAGACAAAGGAGTAATAAAGAAAAACAAAACAGTTTCATTGGAGATCATAAGTCACAAGGAGTGGATGCATCTTCGCTATGCACTGAGAACGATTTTGAGCCACGTCACCAATTGTTTCCAACCATAGATTTTTACCGTCCCGAGGACCCCAGCCTGGAAGTCTACACCTTCCTACGTGGCTTAGACCAACTGTTGTGGATTTCATTGACCGGTGCCAAGTTTTGTTTGACCGCCGCTGGCTGTTTTCCAGCCTGACCCTATATCCGCTAACATTGCTCGTCGAGGGAGGCGATGGCTTGGCATACGTAACACATGTCCTAACCATCTCAGTCTTTGTAACTTCACGACTTCGTCGATTGATTTCCCCAGTTTACATAGAACTCTACGCCTAACCTCCATGTTGCTCACCTTATTATGCCACTTTACACGGCAAATAGAGCGCAGGCACCTATGATCAAAGACAGCTAGCCAGCATTTTCATGTCTTCCACTTCATGGATTTATAGTCTCCATTGAAGGCCGGCCAGGGCAGTAGTAGTGACTGGACTTGCTTCTTCTGCGCACAGAGCACCAGTTGTTTAAGGCGAATCGGGATAGCCTCTACTATTTGGAACATACAGTACCTGGATGTTTTTGGCAGTTTGCTTGATACCTAATAGATGATGGAGGAGGACTGTTCAACACCAGCTTTGTGGCCGGTTTGAGCCAGATGGTCTAATATCGAGCTATTGTTACTTCTCATTACACCTTTATTTAATCACACTGGCAGATGTTCTTGAGCACGAAAAATTAAGTTCCCGGAGCAACGGCCAAACATAACTTGCTTCAAAAGCGCAGTTGAATTGGTGGGTACAATTGGAATTGTCTAGTCTAGGTAGTTCATCTTTCGATTGAGGGATCACCATCGGTCGTGAAGATAATAACACTTGTAATTCGCCAGCATTAAAAGTTCTTTGAACTGATTTTCTTAACTTTTTCGTAATTATTTCGCTAGATATATCACCCTTGAATTGCAGTCGTATGTGAATTATATAAATTATTATTTATTTCTTGTGTTGAAAGTGAAACATTGGGCTTCATTCACACATCTGCATTATACTTAGTTATATGCAGTCGCTTTTATTTGACTACCGGACTGCACACAAGTTTTTATTTCCCGTCGATATTATCTGCTCTGTGTTTCCCTTTGATGTCCAACTCGTCGATTTCCATTGAGGTTCCTCTTGGAGGGCCTGCCTAGCATGTGATATCATGTTAAGGTCTCCTTGTGATTTCTAAGTGATATTTCTTGACCTAGTTATCCTAAGTCGGATCATCGCTTATTCGAATACAGCTATGTCTTGGTAAAGAATCTCAGAAAGGTAAACTTCGCAATCTGCATTTCGCTGCACGCGACTGTCAAACTAGTAACTTCAGGTAGATAGTATAACTGTACGTGATTACTATCTTATTTAGAACGACGGTCGGAGCATATAGCTTAAGGAAAATTATCGATTTTCTGCCGCTTATCTGCTCCTGTAGATATATCAGTCTTCCGACGAGTATCTTGCCTAAAAGAGTTCGAGAATACTATCCCGCATAGTTTTAGAAAGATAGCATCGTTAAAATATGGAATGCAATAGTTGAACATCTCGTCGAGTGAAAACGTACTTTATGCCTCCTCCCCTAGTTACTGCTAATTTTAAGATGTGGCAGCGAATGCAGGAGAAGGATCAAGTTGAAAGGAGACTGAAGTGATACGATTTCACTAATTTAGTAAATTGAGCCTTGTCGGGGGGGGGAGATGTTCATCTGTTTGTTTGAATCCTCTGGATATTTGGAGCCATCATTAAAAATAGATCATAGTTTCGTACTTCCTATCTTCATCTTAAACGCATTCGGATACTACTTTATGTGCCTGTTCGAGAGAATATTCTGTGACTGTTGAATCAAATTCTGATTTTTCAATTTACACAATTCGAGTGGAAATTTTTGTCACAGTTTCTTTTGGGTACCAAAACTATTCAGACTAGAAAGTGTAACCCGTTTGAAACGATAAATGAAAATCATGAAAATGGCGCCATGGACTACTGTTTGATTGATATAAGTAGTTGGATACCATTTATGTCAACTAGTAGTGGTTGCTAGTCGGAACGAGGTGAACTGAGCACCT